GTTTAAATTTTACTGATATCCCTTTGTTTTAAACTCATTATCATACATTACCATACCCCAAAGCAAAGGGAAATAGAATTGAAACCAAGGATAAAATTGAATCACAACAAGTACACCTGTGGCAACTCAGGTTCAAGGTCTTATTGGATTCACTTTGAGAATCAATGATTTTGTTTTTGTCTCCTTTGTAGTTGCCCGATTTGCACACATTTGCAGAAAACCTTTTCTCCAAGGCAAAAGAATATGAAAAAACAACAAGAAAGTCTGATGATGGGAAGGAGTGAAAGACTTCTCTAAGATCTGGGTAGTTTCTTGGTATTGCAGATGGTGGCAATCATGAAATGATGTGATACAAAAAACTGAAAAGGCACTGAACAATATCCATATCACAACACAAAAGCGAACCAACAACAGTTTCCACAACACCAAGAAACATCCAAGATCTGTGGTAATGAAGCAAAAGATAAAAACCATAAACCACCAGCAGTATTAGATATGTGGTGATGTCATAGGAAATGAACAAATTGCAACTGGAATAGGCATAGTTGTGCACAGAAATCTGTTCAGTATGAGGAGTAAACAGGATATGGAGCGCTTAATTGTTTTGCTTGTTTAATACTGAGCTATTAATGTGCTTCATCTTGTTAATGACATTATTTATAACTTTTCTTACAATTCAATCTGGTGTACCTAACATGTCTAACATTGAAGTGGTGGATAATTTAAAGCAGTAGGCTTGCCACTGAACAAGTTTTTCACCTACATGTTATTGAAAGCTAGTCTTAATATGTTGTTGCTCAATTTTATCCTTACATGTAGTTCCTTTGTTTCGGGGTGTGATAACGCATGATAACCGTGTGGAATAGAACTTAAACTATGGATGAAACTGAACCACAACATATCCACTGTAGTTATTCACTGACTTGGAGGTGAAGAACAACTGGTTTAGTATAATTTTACCAAACAAGCAATTAACTAGCATCCTAAACAGTAGGTTTATCTTTTGTCAGTCATTATCTCTCATAATGAAGTGGACACCCACTTAAAGGGACAGGTTCATGGTTCAGCACATGCTCATTAATTAAAATGCTATTTTGCTGCCGGGACATGCTGTATCGCCTATGAAAGCAATATGATCATGTCGTAATGTTGTCAAAGAACCAATCTGCACACTCCCCTGGCAGTCACTTGATCAAATTAGGTGGAAAGAGCTGTAAATTAATCAACCATGGAACAAAACCCTCGGGTCAACAATAAATTCAACGTTGGTAGTGTTGGCATAATCCACTAATTTTTCTGCGATTTTAGTACTCCTCCATTCTACTTCACGTTTCTCTGAAATACACTTCTACTTTGAAATACACTCTGAGATCGCTGAGAGACATGTGAGTGGGATTATTAACCGATATAATTAATAATAAAATGGAAAAGCGTAATTTAATTAACGATTCAATTCAAAGTAGACAGACTGCAAATCATCTTAGTTGCTAAAAAATATATATCTACGTGTCGCAACTGTTCATCAGTAGGATGCCTAAAATGCGTGCAATAACGAGCATGCGCTGAACCGTGAACCTATCCCTTTAAAAGAACAAAAGAAATTGTGCAAAGAGAAATTAGTATTGTCTTTGTCTTGAAACATCTTGAATTCTGATTTGTACTTCACTTTCTTCCAAAGTATTCGTGGTAAATTTTGATGTCGCTGAACAGGCTTGAAGAGCTGGAAACAGCTCGAAAACTTCCGCCTTTCTTTTCTTTTTTTTCCCTGCGTTCTTACATTTGTTGGCTAGTACGTCACCCATAAAAAAATTTTTTAGGGAAAGCTAGAATGTAGCTGATTTGTTTATTTTGATTATTTTCATTAAAAAAATAAATCACCAAGAACTCAGGCCTTATAGTGCCTACTTGTCAGGTTCTCTCGTCTAAAAGCCCTCACGTTTTCTTATCACCTTTAAGGTAGATCTCTCTTCTGTCGATCGGTCACCCCTTTGTCTGTCGTAGAATACACCCTTTCACGGTTTTTTCAAGTTTCAATAAAGATCGGTGAGCGAATATCCATCGACACTGCTAGAAAGAGCACCCAACAATTATGAAACTTACCAAGTTTAAAGGTGGTACGTCCAAAGTGAGCGAAGGCATCGCTGTACAAAGTCGCAAAATTTTACTGACTTTTGTATGGTGTGAGTTACAAAGACTTGCCTCCACCAAGCTAAGATGAGCAAATTTGCGCGACTTTGCAAAGTAATGTCTTCGTTAGTTTTCAAGAAATCAATTTTGACTGATTTTAAGGCCTTTGGTCCAGCCGTTATGGTGGATTTTAGCTAATTGGTCTCAAAAGTTAAAAAAACCGTACAAGTGTCTATTGTCGACAACATCTGATCCTTCGATCTTGTCCAGTCCATAGCAACCAAACAAAAGGTGTCACGTGGACTGCTTTCTACGGGGATTTGTTATAGTCGGACACAGCCTGCTCTTGACCAAACAGAATCATTCAATACCATCATGTTGATACTTTGGTCAGTTCTCGGAGACGTGATTTCGTTAGGAAGAGGGCGTTTCCCGGACTCGTATCCTCGGTTTCGTCGTCGTTGCATAACTTTGAATTGGGTTGAATCAATTCTCGAAGATCGGATTCCGACGAAAAACGGTACTTGTTTCGTCTTAAGTTTTCAAGTTGGTCGTCTAGTGATTTTAAGTCGGTCTGATTGCTACCCTTTGGAAGATAAGATTAGGCAGATTAAACTTAACGCTTGTAACTAGCCTGCGTCACAGACGAACTAATCTCTGGTTACCGGTAAGTCCGTCTGCGAAACAGAGCCGAAATCCTTGTTCTGGGGCCCCACTTGCCTAGTCTTTCCGGCGTTTCCCCGGCCTTCTCCGTCAATTCACTTCGGTCACGTATCCAAGACGAATTGGCCGCGCGTAATAATGAGGCCCAGGGATTAGGCAAGGCCCCCATCTGTGTGCCAGGAGTATGCCGGATACACACCATGATTGGCCCGTTGAAGAAGCAATTGTAGATTTGCCAACGCAGTTCCGGTAATTTGTTGATTCCTTTGCGGAACAAAAACAAGGATCACGGCGCAGCTTTGCAGACGTTACTAACTTGGGTTAAATTACGTCTGCCAGCAGGCTGGCTTGTAACAAGATGCTGTTTCTTTCAACTGAGTTGATAAGTTAGACTGGCCACCATGTGGAGATAGAAAAGCTGAAGTTTCGGCGTACTAGCCTCCAGTAAGAGCTATTTAAAGGATGAGGATTGTGTGTGGTTTGTGTATCGAATGCTATAGGCGAAGTAACGCTATCGATGGGAACATGATATATAAACATATACAAAAACAAGAATAAATTTAATAGTTGAATGAAAATCCTTCAGTGATTTCGTGAGGATTCAAAGTGCCGTTTTGAAAGAAAATTTTTTTCGATAGTTTTGCGTCTTTCCGTGTTACTTAAGTGCAGTGAGAGACCATAGATTGGCCTGATTTGGCTCGAATGATTCAGAAGATGAAGTCATTTTGGTATTTGCCGAACCCTGGGTTGTGCTTCTGATTGGATGGAGATTTGCTTCCACCAATCAGAAGCAGGTTTGGGTAGCAACGCCTCATCAGTTTGCAATTTCTACCCCCGTTTCTCAGACGTCATATCGGGATGGGGACCAGTGGTGGCGTCGCGAAATGTCGGCTGTTTTGTCAGGCTACTCTTACATCTCATTTGAATTTGTAATTGAAATTGGAATTGGAATTGGAATTGGAATTGGAATTGGAATTGGAATTGGAATTTCTACCCCCGTCCGTTTCTCAGACGTCATATCGTGAGGATATCAGTCGTGACGTCGCGAAATGTCGGCTGTTTTCTCAGGCTAATCTTACAGCTCATTTGAATTTGTAATTACAATTGTAATTTGTTTACCACGGAGCACTTAGGAGTTCTTAAGAACTCATTAACACGTAGCCATGCGTTCCAGATCGAATTGGATTTAGAAGTCTCGGCTTTTAAGGAGAAATTTGCCAGAGTTGCCATTTTCGTTGTTGGTTAACTTGCATTTCTGCACATAAGTGCTGCAACGGGACCGGTTTTGACGAGTACAAGAAAAGCATCAAAGAAAAGGGAGGAGGAAGAACAAAAAGGTGTTTTCATTTCCAGTTCGTAAATAAAAATGAATGATTTCTGATTCCGTTGCTCTGTAGCTCACCGTTCTCTTAGTATCGTTTGAAGCTGAGCGAGGCCTCGTACTTTTTGACGTCTTCCGTGATGACAAGATAATTAATTCCTCTTCGGATTTGTTGGACGTTGTTTCAGGCTGGATTCTTGTTCCGCGTAACTTGCTTCTCCTTAAGTTAAAAAAAAAGAAAACGATTTCGGAGAGATTTTGCTTGTTGCTTCTAACTCTATATAAACAAGGAATCCTCTAGTTTATTCAGGGGCACCCAACGACAATTTTCGGAAAAATATCTGTTCGGAAGACGATTTGAGATCTAGAATTTTCGGAACATTTGTTGTAAAACTTCTTGCTTGCCTGCCTCTCCTAGGATTTTCGAACATCTAAAAAATGGTATAATTGCCTATTTTAAACGGATTTTTACCCTAAAAAGGTCACCTAGAATTTTCGGGAGCCTTTTTTCTGGCTGAAATTTTCGAAAAGGCGAGTTTTGATCCCTATAATTTTCGGATCACTAGACTTTCAGCTAGGAAATCCGAACAGATGAAAAATTTTTAGGGGATAAAAATATGCCTTTATCTACCGTATAAATACTAAAATACGTTTAACAATGCTATGTTTAAGTGGTTTTGAACTATATTCTCGTTGGGTGCCCCTGTTTATTATCTGACTAACGAGTAATCAATATGGGATTTGGTTACTTGAAATATAAGGCTGAAAAAGTGAAACGTTCTAAGGTAATCGAGAATCACCAACCCTTTATCAGAGGCGTTCGCGACCTTGTATTCGAGCTCCGTTCTCTGGCTCTGAACAGCAACTTAATCCAAGTTTATTGCAGGGTCGCACAATGGCCTGACCCTTTAAAAACCCAATATCCTAAGTAAAAGTCTTATAAAAAAAATAAAACTTCTCATTATAAAATGCTAAGATCATGATATAAATTGCTGTAATCCAAAGTTTCGATAGAGAGTTTTCATTTGAATGGTAGCCTTCGTCAACAGGTTAAAGAATTATATAGAGTAGGCATGTTGCCAGAATTTCGTTTACTGAGGAGTGACATTTAAAGGGTATGTTGAGGGAAATAAAACTCTCACCTGTAAAACACGAAACCTACGATGAAAGCTGCAGTCAGGCAAAAGGCTCCTAGCACGTAGGGAAGAAAACTGGTGTAATATTCCTGGAGCGATCCCTGGAAAGTGGTGGGTAACACTGTGACTACCTTAATAGTGGATCGTTCTGTGGTGAGGGTGGGTGAGTCCCAAGTGACCTCATTTACGGTAACAATTTCAGCTCCAATGTTTCTCTCAAGACTGTCTTTGTTCTCCAAGACTATTGTTCGCAGTACATTGGAAGGCAAGTATCCTTGATATAAAGCAAGAGGCAAAGCAAGGAAAATTCTTTAATCAGCAAGTGATGGCAAAGTAATCCAAGAATCTCAAAACTCTCAGTGTGTGTGTGTGTCATTACAAGTCGTAGCGTCAAGACATCGTGCAATGAGAAACGATCAATTTATGAAGATTACGTTAGAAATGTTTAGAAATGTTATGAATTACCGAAGCAAAAAAATTCCAGCGGGCAAATGCGACAGCTATACGTTTATGTTGCGAATTAATCCACCCGACGATTGGTTGAAGATGGGATGAGCACGGGACTTACAAACTCGCGCACGGCTCGCGGATTCTCTGTTCTGTATCACGTGTTCGTTTGAAAACAATGCATTCTCTGTTCTGCATTACGTCATAAAAGTTACCTTACTCTAACTTATGTAACATATCTTCGAGATTCATTGTGCCTTGGAACTTTTGTGCACGGCCCTATTAGGCTGCTCGTTGGCAAAAATGAAACTTATAACTGCCGTATTAACCGCTGTTTGGAAGAAATAACGCGAAAGGGAACGTCGCAAGGAACATAGTTTGACGGCTTAGTTCGCCATTGCTCGTAGAAATCATGCGCGCCAACCAACAAATTAGTCACTTATCTATTAGCAAATACCTATGCTAATTTATCTGTAGCTTACCCTAATTTACAAAAGTAGCTGTAACAATGAGAGCACAGCTAGTAAGTACAATGTATAATAAGTGCTAAAAACGGGCTGCTATTGGAAAATCAGCAACAACCAGAGTTTTGATGAAACTATGCATGATGTTATCAATATGGAAAAGGGTCTACTTTTACTCTGCACACGAAGATCATTGTAACTCAAGTTGCGAAGGCGTTGGCCATTTACCAATAGTTATCAAATCTCCAACGGGCCTTAGTCTGAAAATTATATGCATAATAACAGGGCCAGCCTTTCCCGGATGATGAGTATCTCACAACATAAATACTAGCTTGCTTCGTACCCAGGCGTCTCTCTTGTACCTGGCGCGCATAGTCCGTCATGGGAAGGGTACGCCATACTTAGCGCGCTTAGTTTGTCCCTCCAATTAAGGCCTTTGCTTTCTAGCTGTTGTCCACACCATAGTGGTGCCTGAGGCAGAAAACTAGAAAAATTTCACTTACCTGGCTTTTGTGACAGGCTGATTGGAAGCTTCACTTTTAGTCGGACCCAGATTTTGCCAACTGAACTGTTTGTTATTTTCATAATGATATGTGACATGTTTAATAGGGTTCTGGGGATCACAGAAATCATGCATTTCAATAGACGCCCATCTTCTTGTACAGATTGATTTAAAAGGACCTATAAATTGCCCGCCAGTTTTCTTACTAAAAGAACTGTTTTCTCCACAAGCAAACATTGTTTCTGAAGCAAAAATGAATTCTTCAACTAAGTTTAAACCAACCCCTTAATCAACATAGTCTTTTCGCGTTGCCATGATCTCTTGTGCTGACAAAACGTCGTTATGTAGCTGATTTAGTACTCTAGTACGATCATGTTTACTGTGTTCAAACAAAATAATTAAATATTGCAAAAGCCAGTGAACAAGCCATTAAAAAACAATTCAGTGATGTCGTTCCTTACTACGTTAAACTCAAGGGCATTGTCAATACAGTCTAACTGACACAAAATATCCTTAGTATCCACAGTTAAAAAAATCTATCAATGTTACCATCCACTGTTAAAGTCCATTATAAAAGCTATAAGGTCGGTATAAAATGGCAATGCTCATTTCTTACCATAAAATTATACAGTTACTATTGTAGTTTGTTACCTATTATCAGTCATGTTCGGGGTAATCATGCAAGGCGTAACATGCTTTGCACAATACTCATTTATTTTATTCACCAACGCCACTTCAAGTCGCTGCTTTCTTTCAGTAGTCCACTGTAAAATTAAACAAACCTTTCAAGTTACTGTGCCTGACCGAGGTTAAATAGAGAATTAGGCTGGTGGACAGAAGGTTGAATATAGATAGATGGTGTCAAGCCTAATAGCAATAAGTTTTAAAGCATTTTCCTCAATGCAACTAACTCAACAAATTTACATGTAATAGTTCTAATCGTTTAAAAAAGGTTTCATGCAACTCGCTACCTCTGAAATATCTGCCACGTTCACCACCTGTCAAGACAAAGACGTATTTTTATTGTCGAATTGAAGAAGGGATAGTTCTCACTCATCCACACTGTTCGTCTCAAGGGGAAATGTTTTGTGCTTTGAAGCTATCTAATAGATGAATAAATGACAATTTACTAGAGCGTGCCAGATTCGTTCTTCAAAGCTTAACAAAATAACACATAGTAATGTAGCGATCCCAGTCGTACCGAACATCCAGGTTTTACTAGTCATCCCGGTCATCCTAGGCATCCCTGTCGTACTGGGATCAGTTGTTCGAAATATGGATAGCGCTATCCATTAAATAAATCTCTATCCCGTGGGTGGCGGAACTGGTTTTCCTAATTATTATTCACTGGATAGTGATTTATCCAGAAGATAGCGCTATCCAGCTTTTGAACAACAAGGGACTGGTCATTAAAATTATCCCTATCATCCCAGTCATCACAGTTAGAACTAAATAAGAACAACCTAAAAAACAAATGTGCACCATTATAAACAGGAAACCCAAAGGGAACACTCTACCGGCAAAGTCACACTACAGTGAAAAAACTAGCACTAACAAACATAATAATGCCAATCAGTTTAATAGATACTTTACACTAGACGAAAAATCTTCGCAGAATCTACACACAACTGCAACAAGTTGCACCAAACCGCACCAATGTGAGAAAACCAGCTAGTACCAAATTGCACCAGTCTGCCCCAAATTGTACCAAACTCCACCAATCTGCACCTACTTGCACCAAACTGCACCAATCTGCACCAAGTTGCACCAAGTTACAACAGACTGCTCTAATCTCCACCAAGTTCCACCAAATTGCACCAATCTCCCCCTAGTTACACCAAACTGCACAGATCTGCACCAAGTTGCACCAAACGGCCCCAAGCTCACCCAGTTGCACCAAAATGCACCAAGTTCCGCCAATCTGCACCATGTTGCACCAAGTTGCACCAAGTTTTGCCAAGTTACAACAAACTGCACCAATCTGCACCAAGTTGCACCAAATTGCACCAGACCGCTCTAATCTGCACCACGTTCCACCAAATTGCACCAATCTGCCCCAAATTGCACCAACCTGCACCAATCTGCACCAAGTTGCACCAAAGCACACCAATCTCCACCAAGTTGCGTCAAACGGCACTAAGTTCACCAAGATGGCACCAAACTGCACTAATCTCTACCAAGTTGCACCAAATTACCAAATTGCACCAATCTCCCTCAAGTTGCACCAAACTGCGTCAAGTTGCACGAAGTTGAACCAATCTGCACCAAGATTCTCAAAGTCACACCAAACTGCATCAGTCTCCACCAACTTGCACCAAGTCGCACCAATCTGAACCAAGTTGCACCAAACTGCACCAATCTGCACCAAGTTGTACGAAATTGCACCAATCTGCACCAAGTTGCAAGAAAATGGCACAAGCTGCACCAAGTTGCACCAATCCAAACCAATCCGCACCAAGTTGCAACAAGTCGCACCAATCTGCGCCAAGTTGCAACAAGTTGCACCACACTGCATCACCTTCCCAAGACGTCACCAAATTGCACCAATCTGCACGAAGTTGCACCAAATTGAACCAAGTTGCACCAATCTGCACCAAGTTGCACCAAATTGCACCAATCTGCACCAAGTTGCACCAAACTGCACCAGTCTGCACCAAGTTGCACCGGGTCGCACCAAACTGCACCAAGTTGCACAAACTGCACCAATCTGCACCAAGTTGCACCAAATTGCACCAATCTGCACCAAGTTGAACCAAAATGCACCAAGTTGCAGCAAGGTGCACCAGTCTGCACCATGTTGAACCAAGTTGCACCAAGTTGCACCGAGTTTCGCAAAGTTACACTAAACTGCACAAATCTGCACCAAGATGGCGCTAAACTGCACCAACCTGCACCAAGTTGCACCTAATTGCATCAAGCTGCACCAAACTGCACCAATCTACACAAAGTTGCACGAAATTTCACCAATCTGTACCGAGTTGCACCAGACTGCACCAAGCTGCACTAGATTAAACCAAGTTGCACCAATCTGCACCAAGTTACAGCAAACTGCACCCGTCTGCACCAAGTTGCACCCAGTCGCACCAAGTTGCACCAAATTGCACCAAATTTCACCAATCTGCACCAAGCTGAACCAAACTGTAGCAAGCTGCACCAAGTTGCACCAATCTGCACCGTGATGCACCAAGTTCCACCAAGTTTCACAAAGTTACACTAAACTGCAGAAATCTGCACCAAGATGGCACCAAACTGCACCAACCCGCACCAAGTTGCACCAAATTGCACCAAGTTACACCAAACTGCACCAATCTACACAAGGTTACACCAAACTGCACCAATCTGCACCAAGTTGCACCAAACTCCACCAAGCTGCAGTAAGTTGCACCAATCTGAACCAAGTTACAGCAAACTGCACCTGTCTGCACCAAGTTGCAGCAAGTCGCACCAATCTATACCAAGTTGCACCAAACTGCACCAATGTGCACCAAGTTGCACCAAATTGCACCAATCTGCCCAAGTTGCACCAAACTGCACTAAGTTGCACAAGGTTGCACCAATCTGCACCAAGTTGCAACAAGTCGCACCAATCACCACCAAGTTGCAACAAGTTGCACCAAACTGCACCAATCTGCACCAAGTTACACCAATCTGCACCACCTTCCTCAAGATGGCACCAAGCTGCACCAATCTGCACCAAGTTGCACCAATTTGCACCAATTTGAACCAAACTGCACCAAGTTGCACCAATCTGCACCGTGTTGCACCAGGTTGCACCAAGTCTCACCAAGTTACACCAAACTGCACCACTCTGCACCAAGTTGAACCAAGTCGGACCAATCTTTATCAAGTTGCACCAAGGAGCACCAAACTGCACCAATCTCCACCAAGTTGCACCAAACTGCACCAAGTTGCAACAAGTCGCACCAATCTGCACCAAGCTGCAACGAGTTGCACCAAACTGCACCAATCTGCACCACGTTTCACCAAACTACACCTCCTTCTTCAAGAGGGCACCAAACGGTACTAATCTGGACCAAGTTGCACGAAATTACACCAGTCTGCACCAAGTTGCACCAAACTGCTCCAATCTGCACCAAGTTGCAACAAGTTGCACCAAACTTCACCAATCTTCACCAAGTTACACCAAACTGCACCAATCTTCACCAAGTTGCACCAATCTGCACCATGTTGAACCACGTTGCACCAAGTTTCGCCAAGTTACACGAAACGGTACTAGTCTGCACCAAGTTGCACCAAGTCGCACCAATTTGCACCAAGTTGCACCAAGGTGCACCAAACTGCATCCAGTAGCACCAGTCTTCACCATGTTGCACCAATCTCCACCAAGTGTCACCAAACTGCATCAGTCTGCACCAAGTCGCACCAATCTGCATCAAGTTGCACCAAACCGCAGCACTCTGCAGCGAGTTGCACCAGACTGCGTTAATCTGCACCAAGTTCCACCAAATTGCATCAATCTGCCCCAAGTTGCACCAAACTGCACCAATCTCCACCAAGTTGCACCAAACCACACCAATCTGCACCAAGTTGCAACAAACGGCAGCAAGTTCGCCAAGATGGCATCAAACTACACTAATCTCCACCAAGTTGCACCAAATTACCAAGCTGCTCCAATTTGCACCAATTTGCACCAAATTGCACGCACCACGTTGCACCAAGTCGTAGAAATCTGCACCAAGTTGCACCAAATTGCACCAAGTTGCACCAACCTGCACCAGTCTGCACCAAGTTGCACCAAATTGCACCAATCTGCACGAAGTTGCACCAAACTGCACCAAGTTGCATCAAGTTGAACCAAGTTGCACCAATCCACACCAAGTTGCACCTAGTCGCACCAATCTGCACCAAGTTACAAGAGGTTGCACCAAACTGCACCAGTCTGCACCAAGGTACACGAAACTGCACCACCTTCCCCAAGATGGCACCAAACTGCACCAATCTGCGCCAGGTTGCACCAAATTGCACCAATCTGCACCAAGTGTCACCAATCTGCACCATGTTGCACCTGGTTGCCGCGAGTTTCACCAAGTTACACCAAACGGCGCCAGTATGCACCAAGTCGCACCAATCTGCATCAAGTTGCACCAAACTGCACCAAGTTGCACCGGTCTGCACCATGCTGCACCAACTTTCACCAAGTTTCTCCAAGTTACACCAAATTGCACCAATCTGCACCAAGTTGCACCAAATTGCACCAAGTTGCACCAAACTGCACCAAGTTGCACCAAATTGCACCAAGTTGCACCAAACTGCACCAAACTGCACCAATCTGCACCAAGTTGCACCAAATTGCACCAATCTGCACGAAGTTGCACCAAACTGCACCAAGTTGCATCAAGTTGCACCAAGTTGCACCAATCCACACCAAGTTGCACCTAGTCGCACCAATCTGCACCAAGTTGCAAGAAGTTGCACCAAACTGCACCACCTTTCCCAAGATGGCACCAAACTGCACCAATCTGCACCAGGTTGCACCAATCTGCACCAAGTGTCACCAATCTGCACCATGTTGCACCTGGTTGCCGCAAGTTTCACCAAGTTACACCAAACGGCGCCAGTCTGCACCAAGTCGCACCAATCTGCATCAAGTTGCACCAAACTGGACCAAGTTGCACCGGTCTGCACCATGCGGCACCAACTTTCACCAAGTTTCTACAAGTTACACCAAATTGCACCAATCTGCACCAAGTTGCACCAAATTGCACCAAGTTGCACCAAACCGCACCAAACTGCACCAATCTGCACCATGTTGCACCTGGTTGCCGCAAGTTTCACCAAGTTACACCAAACGGTGCCAGTCTGCACCAAGCTGCACCAATCTGCACCAAGTTACACCAAACTGCTCCATCTTCCCCAAGATGGCACACAAACAAGATGGCACCAAGTTGCACCGAACTTTACCAAGGTGCACTACGTGGCACCAAGTTGCACCGAGTTGCCCCAAGTGTTACCAAGTTACACCAAACTGCTCCAGTCTGCACCAAGTTGCACCAAGTCGCACCAATGTGCACCAAGTTGCACCAGGCTGCTCTAATCTGCACCAAGTTGCACCAAATTGCACAAATCTTCCCTAAGTCGCACCAAACTGCACCAATCTGCACAAAGTTGCATCAAACCACACCAACCTGCGCCAAGTTGCACCAAATGGCGACAAGTTCACCATGATGGCACCAAACTGCACTAATCTCACCAAGTTGCACCAAATTACCAAATTGCACCAATCTGCACTAAGTTGCACCAAACTGCACCAAGCTGGATCAAGTTGCACCAACACGTTGCAGCAAACTTCACCAATCGCACCCCCTAGTTGCACCAAACTGTATCAATCGTCAACAAGCTGCACCAGTCTGCACCAACTTGCACCCAACTGTACCATTCTTCACCAACTTGTACCTATCTGGACCAATGTGCACCAAGTTGCTCCAAACTGTACCAGCTTGCACCCAACTGCATCACTCTGCATAAACTTGCACCTACCTCTCCGAACTTGCAGTTATCTGCACCAGTGTGCACCGACAATCGGTGACAAAACTGTTGACAGATTGTACTTAAATAGGGTAACTTCAGATAACAAAAGAATCTACACCCCTTCCCTGTCCCCTCCATTCAAAGTTGGAATGTTTGTTGTTTTCTATAGGTAGCTCGAACAGCGGCACAACATTGCTACAGGGAGCGGGGAAGAAAAGGGTATATTTGCCCCTTTGGAAGTCAGTAAAACGTAAAAAAGCCCAGTTTAGGGCGAAGTGTCTCAACACATTCTGTCAGCGACTGAAGTTAAACCAAACTGCACTAATCTGCACCAATCTGCACCCAGCTACACCAATCTGCACAAAAAGGTCCCCAATCTACACCAAACTGTAACAATTTGCCCTAAGTTGACCAAACTGCACTAATATGCACCAAGTTTCATCAAAGTGCAAAAATCTGGTGCACTAATATACTTCAATCTACACTCAACTGAACCAATTTGTACCAAACTACACTAAAAATAATAATAATAGTAATAGTAATAATAATGATACAATTATTACTATATAGTGCAAACAACATGGACCAGTCTGCACCAATCTGCAAATTATTACATGGAACAATCTGCACATTACATGCACCAATCTGCACCAATTTGCACCTGTTGCACCAAAATGCACCAAACTGCACTCATCTGCACCAACGCTCTGTTCCGGTTGATCCCGGTCGTCCCGGTCATCCCAGTTGTGCCTATGGTCTCTGTCGTCTTGGTCGCCTTGGTCATCCCGGTCTTCCAACTCAAAAAGATCCTCCCAATCGTCCGGGTTGTCCTAATCATCCCCATTGTCCTGATTGTCCCGGGTTTCCAGTCGTCTTGGTCGTCCTCTTCAACGGGAGAGACCGGGAGGTCACTCCAATCAGCCCGGTCATCCCAGTCATCCCACTTGACCCAATTGTTCCGGTTGTCCTCTATGTCCCCGTCATCCAAGTTGTCCGGGTTTCCCGGACACCCCAGTCATTCTAGCCTCCCACGCAGGCGTTTTTAGGGCGCTCGTATTTCTTCCCTCCCCACAATCGCCTGCTCAACGGAAAACAACATTCCTTTCTCATTGTTTTATTTGCGTGGTAGGTGACCAATCAACAATTGTGCAATGAAGTGTTGACAGGCTAAACACGACTGAACGTGACCTTCGAGTTACCGAAGTTAATTATCAGATTAATTATCAGATTACCTTGCGGTCAAGGTCAACTTTCCAGAATTTGGAAAGTACAATGTGATTGGCTAAGCTTGGGAAAGGAATGTTGTTTTCCGTTGAGCAGGCGTTTGTTGGGAGGGAAGAAATACGAGCTCCCCTTAAATCGCCTGCGTGGGAGGCTACAGTCATTCGGGCCATTCCAGTTATCCCGGTTGTGCCGGTCGACCTGTTGTCCTGGTTATCTCGGTCGTCCCAGTCGGGCATCCGGGTTGTCCTGGTTGTCCAGAACATCTCATTCGTTCCGACCATCCCAGTTGTCCGGCTTGTCCTGGTCGTCCAAGTTGTACCCTGTCTCTTCATCCCTTTTGAAATTGTGAAATCAGCTAAAATATTAGGTGTCACTGAAAGGAATGACCATAAATGGAACGATCATGTTGATAATATTACTGCGAAAGCAACTTAAGCGCGCTGGCATAGATCGTAAGTCCCTAATTCAATTTTATTGCGCAGGCATTCGTTCCGTCCTAGAATATGCATGCCAGGCTTTCCATTCCAGCTTGCCAGCCTATTTGTGCGACCAAATAGAGCGGGTTCAGAAAAGAGTCTCAAGGATTCTATTCCCAAAGGTCTCGTATAGCAAGGCCCTGGAAGATGCGGGTTTAAAAAACTCTTTCATAGACGCGAGGAATTATGTAGCACTCTGTATAAACAAATTGTAGAGAGCAATCGCCAGCATAAATTAGCTGGCTTGCTACCCGCGCGAAACGACAATGAGAGATATAACTTTAGGAATAGGCGTATGGTTTCAATCCCACGTGTAAAAACAAAGAGGTTTAGAAATCTTTCGTAATGCACTATGCAGATAAACAACAATTGTAAATAGAACTTTTATACTAGATTTGATTTAATTTTATGGTTATATAGTAGTATTTTTTCTTAGATTATAGTTAAGAATTTTTATAAGGTTAAATTTTTATCAACATGTACATAACACAAGTAATTCAGCTTATAGCTGCTAGTTGTGATTTTGAATAAACGATTATCTCCTCTCCTCTCTCGAGTCATCCTGGTCATCCCAGTCATCTCGGTAATCCCAGTTGTAGCGGTTGTCCCGGTCGCGCCAGTTTTCCTTGTCATTTCAGTTGTTCGGGTTGACCCGGTCGTCCCGGTTGACCGGTTGTCCTGGTCGTCTCGGTCACCCCAGTTGTCAAGATTGTTCCGGTTGTCTTCGTCGACCTTGTTGCAACGGTTGTCCCGGTCGCCCCAGTAGTTCCGTCAACCTGGTTGTTCAGGTCATCCCAGTTGTCCGGTTTCCATAGCGATACCGGTTGTCATGGTCTTCCCAATCGCCCCGGTTGTCCAACTCATCCCAGTTCTCCCTGTTTTTCCAATCGTCTCGGTCATCCCAGTCATTCCGGTCGTCGTGTTCATCTTGGTCATAGTGGTCATTCCATTTCTTCCGGTTGTCACGAAAGTCCTGGCCGTCCCTGTTGCCTGAGGCGCCCGGTTGTTCCGGTCGGCCCGGTCATCCCAGTCATCTCGGTTGCCACAGTCATGGCAGTCATGTCGGTCATCCCGGTCAACGTGTTCGTCCCTGTTATCCTGCCATTTCAGTCGTTTTGGTCACGCTAGTTATCCCCGTGATTCTTGTCATCGAAGTTCTTTCTGTCATACCAGTTATCCCTCCCATGTGATTCATCCTGGTCATTCGATGCAGCCATCTTAGCCATCCCAATCATCTCCGTCATCCTTGTCATCCTGGTCTTTTTAGTCCTTCTAGTCATACGGTTTATTATTGTCGTCTTTTTTATTTCTTTAATCCTGGTCTACCCAGTCATCCTTTTTATTCCGCTTATACTGGTCATCCAAGTTTTCCTATTCATTCGAGTCACCCTGTTCATCCCAGTGATGCCATTCATTTTTGTCATTCTAGTGATTCCGTTTACCTTAGTCACAACTGATAAGTTTCGCTTTTTGTAGCATTAACAAAGTCTGAGGACTTCAGTTTTTAAAGCTGGTTAAGTTTATAGATTATAGACAATAGTAGTCCCTTTCTAAAAGTAAATAAAAGCAATACTTACATTGTGATATGGTTTCATTTCAACTGCTATTCCATCGGTTGGGTGAAATTCAGTAGGACCTGCTAAGACTGAGGATTTGTCAACAGATCCTGCAGCGGTTGGTGTAAGAAACAATGGGGTGACGTGATGAATGGATTCTTGAAAGACAGGCGACGACAACGATAACCTCATTTTTGAGGACTTGGAAGTTTTAACAAGCGATGATGATGATGTTGATGAGATTTTGCTTGTTGATATTAACGATTGCGGTATTGAAATGTTGTGGCTTAATGAGACAGTCTTCATAGTCTTAAGAAGTAAACTATTGTGCTCTGTTTCAAATGATGTTCTTAAGATTAAGGTACCAAAAGATATCGAGTAGGAAAATGCTGTGGACTGTCCAGCAGGGAAAATACTGGTTAAGTAGCCTTCGTTCGCTGATGATGTAGTTGATAGCATTTGTTTTTCGGTAGTTGGTTTTATCATAGTCTTAATTGCCGCTAAATGTGACGAGGAACGTTCCAAAATATGCTTGGATGTCGACCTGAGGATGCCAGAATACGGGCAGGGGGAACCAAGACAAACTGTTAAAAGAAGGCAAGAAATGTGTAAAGTTCTATTCTGTGAAATTCAGTTAGACAGAGTTCTCTGGGAAGGTTGATTTCACCCCCAAATTGACAATGCACGACAAAGGACTTTGTAGAAAGAAACCAACTCTAAAATAGTTCATTTATTTAAATATTGTTGCGTTTGGGGTTAGGCGAATGCAACCTAACCTTGGGCCACCTCTGTACTAAAGGGTAATACTTTTCGTTGTCGCGTTGTTTGACCACTTTAGCTTGGCATGGCTGCATTTATTCGGGCTTTTTTTGAGACTTTAACGGTGATGATCGTTATATCTATTTTCAAGCAGTTCCGATAGATGAAATTCATATATTCATCATTTTATTGGAAAGCTAAATACTCAGTCGTTTTGTTTGACTTACTTTGTGTGCAATTTTCCCCAGTCCACCCGCTCAGACACAACTTTTCTCCGCTGACGGGGTCACAGTTGTAATGACCCAAAGAATCATTTCTGGGAGTGCAAATCTTCCGTTTCTTTACACAGTCTGAAAGAGGATCATACCATCCGTCGTGACATATTTTGCGTCCGGCAGTATAGTTACAGTTGTAATGACCAAGACTATCATTGTGTGACATACAATAAGTGCGACACTCTGGCACCAGATAATTAGGACCACAGTATAGCGTGACCGTTACGGTCATGCACGATCGTTTACCACATAGCTTCTTTGTTTGCTGTGTGGCAGATTGAAGATCAGGATCCGCTGATCGAAGTTGGCTTAGTGTTAGGGTGTACTTGTCTACGAAATCGTGGAGAGAACCTGCAATCTGACCGCTGTCATCATCCCAGACTTCAATTACGACCGTGCTCCCCTGAAATTAAGAGGAAAATAGCCTGAGAAAACACCCAACATTTTGCGACGCCACCACCGATTTCGCCGCAAAATGACGTCTGGGAAACAACCGCAGAAATTCCATACTGATAACGCGTCAATACCCAGATCTGGCTAGTGCTTCTGATTGGTCGTGCTGTGTGGGGCATTTGCTTCAACACACTACCAAGATCTGGTTAGTGACGCGTCATCAGTATCAAATTTCTTCGCTCGTTTCTGAGACGTGATTTCGCGAGGAAACCGGTGGTGGCTAACAGTAAAACAGCTTACTACTCTTGTATCTTCTTTCTGACATTGTTTTACACTGCTTAACATAGATCAACTTCCCCCACATCCCCCAGAGGTAATCATGTACTAATTATTGGAATTGGGTCGAGTGGTCTTGTATGTCGTGTTGACACTTTCACACTTATTCACATGATGGGTGGGTTGGATAAAACCTATTTCCTCTGGATTAATTAATATGCTGGTGGTCTATAAACTAGCCTTGGAGATCACCATAGCTACAAACCTTTCGACGTGATGATGATAACTGAAGCACATGATAGGAATAAGAGGACAAAAAAATAACAGTTGGCTTGCAATTTACCTCTTCCAACGTATAATCAAGTTAGAAGGTGGCACTATTGTTTTTGCTGGTTACGAAAAACAAAACGTCATAACTAACATAAACACAAAGCTGCCATCGAAATTAAAAAAACACAAATGGACGCCATTTTTTTCAACTTAAGAAGCTGTGTGCAAAGGAACATATAACTTAGGGCTGCTAAAAGAAACCATATTGTTAACCTTAACTTCCAGTTTGGTAACTGCCCCTATTAGGATCTGGTTCCTCCCATTTTAGAAGAAAACATCATAGGCTTTTGTCTTGATCTCACCATATACCCAACAGCTTAGTTAAAGCGAGTCGACCAAACTTCTTATACAGGTAATCAACGCTGCATAACAAAGACGCACGTTATCATTTGCAAATCTGACAAATTAAAGTGGCTGATTTGCTCTGATGTTATAACTAAACTAGAACGTAACATAATAAACATTAAATAAATTAATAACGGTTTAGAGGTAGCACACCCACTAAGTGGTTCTTCGTCTACCTGATTCCTGGAATTGAATTTGCAAATGTTGGTTTTTAAGGAGAGGACAAAAACCGAAACAGCCAGAGAAAAACTTCTCGGAGCAAGGGAGATAAGCATCAACAAACGCAACACCCACATATAGCGTCCACGCCGGGATTTGAACCCTGGCCACATTGGTGGGAGGGAGGCGAGCGCTCTCACCACAAAGCCATCCTTGCCGCCCGCCCTTTTTAATGTATTCTCTCACACCCTATAGATATTCCATCGCAGTTCACACGTGAGATCGAGAACAATGAATATATCATCGATTTTCTAGCTATTAGACACAAAAAGTAGATTTCACTTAGGGGCTAAGACTGGAGGGTTTTGATAATTTAAAAGATAAACCTTTTGCTTTTTTTCGCAGGTCCCTGAAAGTGTAAAGATAACGTGAAAATGAAATATTTTTATTAGATGCTTTTGCTGGGTTAGTTTCAGCAGTACGCACATAAATGGATCCACAGCGGGAACCAGTGGCACCGTTATGTGCTGACGCCCAAGCTTACTGTTAACATATTAATATAAAAGGTAAAGAGTACGCGTATCTTGTCCTCTCATCCGCGACAATTCATTTATTTCTTTTCATTTCTCTGTTAACACCACCCTACCAGAGCCTCCTTTTGGCTTCTTGATTGAGGAGGAACAAAGAAAGCTCTGTTTAAACCATGTCACCCCTTTGAGGCTCGTACACTAAATCTTGTTCTCTCTCGTCAAATTGTTTTTTTTTTGGCGTGCGAGCATCCGTTTATTGATGAACCTAGGTTCGAAACTATATCCTAGCAACATACCAGGCATGCGCAACAAAGGTCTTACTCGATTCCTGCAGAATCATTCTCGAGAACGCCAAAATTGAGCAAGCGAAAGGAGGCTCTGCTGACAGGGTCTGTTAACACCCGAGTATTTACACCAAAGCAATGTGTTCACCAGTTTCAGCGGCTATTCACTGAACCTTCGATGAATAACTGCTACACACAAACTAAAAAGAGCGGTTTGAAAATACTAACCTGCCAGTGAGAAAAGTTAAATGTTAGTGGATTGAGCAGATTTGTACCCAGGCTTCCTCCAACCTTAGGAAACGTGAAGTCGTCGTCGCCAAGCACTCTTGTTTCACTAGAGCCCAGGTTGCACGGGTGCAAAGATCCAAGTGATGTCACACAGAATTTGAAATAATTCTCACAGGCATTAGTGGAGCACCACGTCAGTGTGTCGCAGCATTCACCATTAAACAAAGTATGGCCTGGATTTTTATAGTTCACCAACCTGAGTGATAAAATCCCCCAACCAATGCAGTGTTTCTGGAATAACGAGACACAAAGACGTTCTTATTGAGGGATGTCAAATCATACTCCTCTAATATATAGATTTAGCCAGGGCTAAAAGCGAAGCTCCTATTAAATCAAATTTATAATTTAAATCAAACAATAAGCTTGTATTCCACAAATCAGTTAACTTTAGAGCACATTCATGTGACTTTTGAGGGAAAGGCTAAGTGATTTTAGAGAAAAATAATTTGCCAACAGTCCAATCTAAGAGTGAACTTAATCTTACGTCGAGTTGATAGCCTTATATGTACACCCAAAAAATAGCATAGCCACAATGGCTCTTGATCACAGTAGATTAGGCCTGGAAAACAAATTATTGGAAACCAAATCAAGCCGAATTTTTTGCGTTCGACAAGTTTACTTTGCAAAATCTTGCCAACAAGTCTGGGGACGTGTAAACCAACCTTTTATACTTTTTACCGCATCACATCTGAGGTGAAACAGTACAATGAGGCGCTGTTTTTATCATACAAACCTTGGACAGAATGCAGTATTTCACAATTTTGCAATACAAATTGCGTTCATTCAATATTCAGGACGATCGAAGCACGCGTGGGCTTTTACCGAAACCGTTAACAAAATTTCCAAAATCATCTCTACGACTAGCTGGTTCTCACTTTTGACAAGCGCCAAAGTCGACTGTTTAAATTAAGGTTAATAGAGTTATACGCTTCAACATAATAAAGAATTTATTATGTTTATTTTTTATCTAATGGTTTTATAACGATGTGTAATCTTCAAAAGCGTTTGATACGCGTGGCATTTTGACTACTCCTGCAAGCGATGTTCATGAGCGACTAAAAACAAACGGCACAGTGATTTATTAAAATTGCAAAGAGACTACTAACAATCAATAATAAAAGGAAAAAAAAATAATTCGGTGAAACATATACAGAGACAACAATTTTCATTCACGAAGACAAGCATTAAAGTGTCTCTGAAAATCCTTGTTTATGTTTTAAGCCGGCTTCCCGGTGTTTGCTTTTTTCAAAGGTGAATTCGAGGCAAGAAAATCGCTCAAAGCTTTCTTTTACAGCCAGAATCATAACTAAATATTCTTTGAAACGTTTTCTTTCTATTTGCGGTGAGAAATTAAAATGTCTGAAGGCTTTTCAAAGTTCTATAAGTTTATAATCAAACCTGATACTCGGTCAGATCATGGTCTCAAATTTCACAAACGTGCATAAACTAAATAGCCCCATAAAGTACGCTCGACTTCATTAAATCAGGTATAAAAAAACAGACATCAAATGAAATAATTACTCAGGCTTACCATTCGAGATGCACTGAAAACTATCAAGTAAGGCCAGAATCGCTTCAGACTTTTCAACCCTCTTACGTATCAAGTAAGGTGAAAAACGAAAACGATGCCATCCGAAATCGGATTTCCGACTTTGAGAAGCGACGTATTTCTCAAGTAAAAACCCAATAAATAAAATAGACATGAATAAGAGAAGACTCTTGGTAGCAGCTGAATTTCATTTTGTACATTCAGTGGGAAAAGCAGTTAAAAACATCACAAGTTGACACAAAACTCTGTCAGCTTCAGCTGACAGAGTAAACAACTTTCAAGATGTTGCATAAATTTTCCGCATGAACTCACCTCTCAGGTTTTGACCAATCAGAGCATAAAAATTGGACGTACAGCGTGACCAACGCGTGACCTTGGTGAGAAAAGTCAAAAGCAACTGGCATGTCTTCCCTGCCTGTAAAAACTGCCTGAATTTTAGCTTCTGAGGTCAGTTTGAAATCAAAATTTTGAAAACACAACATATTTCATATGAATTAAAACGGATAACTTCAAAAAGATACTCGACCTCGATGGGTCGACACCTAAGCCCGCGATACGGTCAGGTGATACTGGTCAGCGGATAACCTGTTTTGACAGCTGTCAATTGATCACAACATTGATGTGCAATATGTGGGCAATATCAGTCTTCCTGTGCTCCCAAACTAACTAGAAAGTGTGAGATTTAACATTGGTTTCCTGTGGTGCGGACGGACGGGCGGGCAGCGGGCGGTGTACGGTCACGTGATTACCAAATTTTCTGGGATGGGTAGATTTACTTACCCATGGTGCTCCGCAGGCGCGCTTCTCGCGCGCCAGAGCTCCGCTACAAATCCTTACATATTTCAACCAATATTTGGATGAGGTTTTTGTGACATCCAGAATTATTTTAATAAATTTGAATTTAGTTACGTTTTACTATACATTGTTTATAGGAAAATAACGGCAAACACACCCTCATTTGAGCCACCCATTTAGCTCCTTGAAAAACTTTTAGTTCCTTTCTATCTTTCCAGTACTTAGGACTCTACAAACTGGTTTCATGGCAAGCCCTTGGATCTTCTGTACTTAGCACGTACAAATCTCATTTGGGGACATACTTTTTCAGCATACGTGTATTAGTATAACCATCGCATTTGCCCGTTGGAATTACAATTCGTACTGATTTTAAGGGGCTAAGACACGAGGCTATCGCTGGTTTCGGTCTTAACGTCATTACTTATTAGTGCTTTTACCAGTATACAAAATACTCCTGTACAGTTTCGAAGAAGATATCAAACAAAGGTTGCTAAGCAGAGAGCTCCGTACCAGCCATAAGATTTTGGTCTCTTTCTGCTGGCCTAGTATTAAAATACTACGCCAGCAAAATCACTTAAGGTGGTCCGTTCTTATTTATATGCGTGTTGGTTATGTTTTTGATTCGCGTTTTTCAGAATGAAAGATTCAACTGATTTCTACGAGTTTTTGCACCCTTAATAAATAATGATGGAACTTAAAGAAAATGTTATTTATTTTCTTATAGGTGTAAAAACTTTTGAGATATCGGGATATATTTAAAACTTCATTTTTACGAAAAATGAAAATAACTTCGAAATCCCAGGACAGATTTTTCAACTGCAATGAAACCCTCTCGCACGATAATATATTCATAATATCTGACTTTCCTATGACGTGCTCACGAGCAGTATGCCACTTGGGGATAATAATTATTATTTACATATGGAAATCTATTTACTGTAAATAGGGAAAAATCTGTCGTGGGATTTCGAAGTTATTTTCATTTTTCGTAAAAATGAGGTTTTAAATATATGTCAATATCTCAAAAGTTTTTATACCTATAAGAAAATAAATAACATTTTCTTAAAGTTCCGTCATTATTTATTAAGGGTGCAAAAAATCGTAGAAATCGGTTGAATCTTTTATTCTGAAAAACGCGAATCAAAAACATAACTAACACGCATATAAATAGGAACGAGCCACCTTAAAAAACTTGAAAAAGTTTGACACTTTTTCAAGTTTTAATCTATGTTCACACTTGCCATTCGTAGGAACAGATGACAGCAAACGAAAAATTTGAAATGCTTTAATTAATATAGTCTTAATATAGTCATTATTTTGGAACATGTTTAAGCTTTTTAAAAGATAGAAAATGGCGTAACATAGCCCCTTTAAGCTCCAAAACAATATATTCAGTGGTTAAATGCGACGGTTGCAAATGAATCCACCTTCGTTGACATCTCACAAAACTGAATAAAAACTAATTTGACGGCGAAACTTTTTTTGACCCTCTCGATTTTGCAACAGTTTATTTACTTTTTGTGTTTAACTGTTTATTTTTTTAACCAGGCAGCATTCTATTACAAATAATAATATAATGATGTCACTCAGTTTTTTCAGTTCTGAGTAACAATGTGCTGCATACGAAAAAAGGGCTGTGCGGTTTGTGTTTTAATCGCAGAAAATTGGAAATAACCTCGTTTGATAAAAACCAAGCTGGCAACAGTTGTTCAAAAGGTGGGTAGCGCTATCCACCGGATAAATCTCTATCCCGCGGATAACGCAATAGACCATTTCTGAGTGGCCCCGCGCCTTTGTTTCAAAGCGGGAGGCTAAGTGCGAATCTATTGATACGAAAAATAGTTTTTAATCTCATGCAAATAACACTCATTAGCTCAAGAAAGGTTTTTTGCACTTAGCCTCGTTTTGAAAGTGAGAGTTTTTGGAACTTGGAAATGGCCTATTGGTCGTCCTCACATTATCCACTGGACCTTTATTGGATGGTGATTTTTTCCGGTCAATAGTGCTATCCGGCTTTTGAACAATTGGGGCCAGCTAAAGTGTAACTGGGAGCGAGCTTGCAGCTGTATTGACATGCACACATGGTCTCAAACAAAAAAGAATGACTTCCTATCCTTCCTTTACGTTTTGAAGTGTTACCAGGCGGTACTAGTTTAGAGCTTGGTTGATGATGAACTCAAGATCCAATCTAATCAAAGCGTTATTTGCTTGAATTTAGCATTATATGATCGTCTTAAAATAAAATGAATTTCTCCAACTCACCATCATAAGTAGAATTACCATAAAAAGCCATGTTATGAACATCTTGATCCGAGCACAGATATTAGTTATTTTTCTTTCAGTAGACACGTTTATTATAATTTTCTCAACTGAACTTAAGCCACAGTCAGCCACTAACATAAACCTAAGTCGCTAAACTTGTTGCTAAATTTTGGTTGTTGATGACATGTTAACGATTGATCCTATATAAACCCTAGGAGCAAATGGGGGGAGTTTCTCGAGAGAATACGGGGTGTATTATGGGCAGGCTTTATGTCTTTTCCCCATCCAATTAATGACTTAAATCTTCGCAAATTTGTTTATTGCAAAAATGATCTATGGTTTTATTGTAGAGATTGACGCAACAAACAGCCCCCCACCAAAAAAAAATGTCGTTCGGCCAGGGTGCCCAGTTTCATATGCTGTTCAAGCACGGTTTATGTCATATTTATTCAGAATTCAAGTATCTTTTCTGTGACACGCAAGGTTTACTTACAAAACGGCTGGAGGAAGCGATCAGCAGCCGAGGGGCACAAATTACCAAAAGAGTGTCGTCGACGTTGCTACAAAAAGGAAAGCGTGTCCAGCTTGACAATAGAAAAAATTCAACTTGTGTTGCGCATCCCGGCATAGGTTAACTATAGGATTACCCCCGGGTCTATAATACTCGATTGTATGTCAAACATTCATTCTGATTGATGTTATCGTGAAGCGCCTGAATAGAAGAAGGGTAGAGTTACTAAAAAATGTTTATCTTTGACCCTTGTATGAACAATTACTCGCATGGAGGTAGCCGAATTTCTACCACTTTCTCCCTGTACATCATGGGTTAATATTCTTGTTTTCTTAATGTTGAACTAGCTGGTCAGTAACTTTCTACTACCGTCTGTTGAAGGAAGTGTGAGTCAATCAAGATCTTACGAGTGCAACCTGACGTGTTAATGGAGCACTTATCATTCAATGCATACCTCAACTTTTTAAGGTTGATACAGTCACGATATCGACTACGACATCACGATCACATAATCGTTCGTATGTCAGTACCTTTAAACTAACAAGGTCGCCTTTAGTGCAGGGTCATGCTAAAGTTGATACGGTTAAGCTGTGGTGTCAGAGTGCGATTTGTTTTTTTTCTTCACCCACTGCACCAGCTTCAATGGCACAATTTCTCAAGAGGAAAAGAACACTGTGCCTGTATTTTTTTCCAAACATCTTCCGAAGCCCTTGAAACACTCACGAAAATTTTCGGGAATACTCTCTTTGCTTGTGCGTAATTTTCTCACGGAGTGGTCACCCCTATTAAAATAGTCGTGACATTTTCCCGCAACCCCGCATTTTAGAAACTCGTATTTATCGTTCTTTTCTGAACGTGCTGTGGAATTATGGAGGCAAAGTCTTTCTTAAACGATTATTACTTAACCCCCGGACGTACAGGCAAATGGCAAATTCATACCCCCACAGAGGCACAAGGCGAAGGGTGGGGGGGGGGGAGGTGGTGATGGAACCCCTCCCTAGAGTTTTGATATGTTGCCTTCAGTGGAAAGCCTTTGATCTTCTCAACAAGATGGGGTATATTTTCTGGGTGGTGGCGCTACTGGAGGCCTGTGACGTTACCAACAATGTCCTCCATCTTGGATTTTACCAAGAATTAGAAATCAAGTTAAAACCGCAAGAAGCGGTAACTTCTTGGTGTTTGACATATGAAATAACACATAAATAAGCACTTTGCATCATTTTAGCCACAACAGTTACTTTTATTGTTAGAGAAGTGAAGGAAACATATGCATTTTCACTCAAAAATGGCTTGACCACCTGCTACTTATGACTTCATGTCTCAGGTGCTGATGTTTTATTGTCTAGAAAAAAACTCAGAAAACTTCAGAGGGGGTGGCAACCACCCCCTCCCCCCTCCCCCCCTGTACGTCCGAGGACTAATAGACAACTTCAAGGGTAGCTACAGTGAGACCCTCGCTCACCGCTATTTGCTCAATCGCTCAAGTACTCACTATTAAAAAGATTTTCAGTAAACCAAAACTGATTCCTTTCTCGTGGATAGATGTTAACATGCATTTTAAACTGTTTTCTTTACCTTTAAATAACATGTCACTGTCTGTGAATTGCAACGATGTTTTCGTCGATAGAACTACTCTCCACGTGTTTTGGAATCGAAGGATAATTCACTCGGGAAAGCTCGGTGGACAGCTTTTGTCTATTATCATGGTAAACCGTCCATGACTGCCTGAAGAGATGAAGAATTCCTAGCCCAAAAGAACTACAAAACGCCATTTACTATCAGTGTTCGAACGCCATGTTACATATTCTTTCGCGGCAAAGGTGAAAGGAAAAAAACTAATTGAATATTCATTTCAGATTAATTAGCAATTCAATGAAATTCTGTTATTTGCGTTGTCAGAAGGTGATTTGAATTCGTTCTTGAGCAGTGAGAAAATTCTATAGTAAAGATCCAAGAAAAAAAATAAAAACGACATTTCGCGATATATAGCTGCTGGCTAAAACTCTTGTCTTATTAGAGCACTAGAAGCAAAAACATAATTTAAGAAAAACTGTAACGGACAGCAAACAAATAAGCCGATAGACGTATACGTAGGATCTACAAGAGATATAATCAGAAAAATATATATGCCAAGTGCATGAACATAAATCTGCTAAGCTGATCGTATTGCGTACAACAGAGAAATTATAACCTCGCAAGACAAATAGAGCGGGGTTGCAGCCGTTGTGTTGTGTTCACGTGCTATTGTGGCTTATCAGAACGGCGTGGCAGAAGAATATTTATAGGAAACAAGAATGTTTCAATTTACCGATAAAATCATTTATTTTATTGTTCATACTGCCTCCTTTATCACAAATAAAATTCGTAAGAATGATAAAAAATAAAAATAATATGAGAAAGACAATTACAAAATAAATAAATAAATAAACTTTAAGCAAGTTTTTCCCTTCTTGTGCAAATTAATTAGATTAATGGACGCACTATGATCCTCCACCAGGAACCATGTTTAGCGGCTGTGACTCAGTGTCTTGCGACTGTCAAAAGCAAACAATTTTCTTTGTTAAATGTACATTATTGTGCAGAGGAGTAGGCTTTCCTTCCCAGCTCCTTGTAGACCTTTTTCGTGATCTAACCTACCATATATGACGGCATATGGTCAGTCCCTGGTCAACACCTTGTTTATTCTCCTTGTTGTTTTTAAAATCGCCTATGGCTGGCAAGTCATGTTGCTTTTAATCACGGAACTCTTTTGCTGTGGCCAAAGGGAATCTACTAACCTAAATGCAAAATCGTGATTACCACATGTTTTTTTTTTACAAATGGTTAGGTCCTTTACATTATACATCACAATAACTGATATTAACTTCAAATAAAAGTTATGTTTTTTTTCCCCTGGGGAAAAGACTTAGGAGGGTAGGGTAGGTTGTTGTTTGTGAATGAGCAAAACCGTGATTTTCAAACCATTTTTCTTTCAAAACTTGCGCTAATATTAGCATTAGCAAGGGAAAAGTGAAGTTTATTATTCACACAAAAAATCTGAAAGGAGAATCAAGCAACTGAGCCAGGAAAACCGCTAAAGTAAAGCAAAACAGCCTGCTCGTGATGTCCCTTCACTAGCTTTATAACCGCGCTGTAAGTACAGCAATCATGCTTTTATGCACCGTTTATTCGACATTTTTGCTATGTTTGTAGTTTTGTTTTCCAGTGTTGCTGTCTGAATCTAGATTCTGCCGTTTTTCATTGAAATTTGCCCCGCTAGTTTTCTACTTATCACAGAAGGTTGTTGTCAATGATTGAATTTAGCTTTCAATCTTAAACAAACAAGAGGAATCACTTTTCCTTTAGTCGGTTATCGCCGTTTTCATTTCCTTATTTATATACTTGTTACCCACATCGCCTTCTTTTATTCTAATTCAATTCAAAACCCTAAGATTGGTATGTGTAATTAGCTCTTTTTATAAAGTCTTTGTGCAGTTTTCATCCCGCTGGATTGAACGAATCTTAAAGTAATTATTGAGCCGAAGAAATTAAATCTTTTCTGTATTTTTTTCCTATGGCTTTTAATAACAAGTTCATCAATTCTTTTATCCCTGTTTGACACTCAGATTATGAATTGCCTTCCAAGACAAAAAAACTTTCTTTATTCTACAAGAGAGCTAAATTGTGATAATCTAAATTACCGAGCTAAGAATCATGTTGTAATATTTTGCTTTGGTTTGCAATGGATCGCGCGCTTCATCAACACGAAACACACATAGGTTGGAGGCTGACTGAGGAAAATTTTCCTGAAAATTTTAAATCTCAGTAGGAAAAAAGTAAAAATGTTATTCACTGGTTTTGGTCGGTCCGTATTGGGAGAAACTGTGCCTTTGGTCTGAGTACTCAAGACCTCGGGCACAGTTTCAATACGGACCGACCGAAGCCGGTGAATAACATATATATAATTTTGCAGTCTACACAAACTGCTCGATGCGTGTTGTGTATTGACCTCAAAAAAGTGTTAGAAATGAAAAATGTACAACAAAAACAACTTTTTTTTTATTCAAGAGAGCCTGTGGTGTGACTGGACTTTCTTTGTAACGTATGACTTCACTAAACAATATTTTCATAGGTACAGGGAAGTGTGCATGTTCAAATTCAAATATCCCAGATGGAATTACGACACAAGGCATTTTATCCAGGTGGAGTGTAGAGTGTTGAGCTGGGAATAGGAAAAGCAAGAGGGAAGGTGTATCTATGTTGTGGGCTGCTATCGACCGCTCAAAAACATGACGGACATCGTCAGGGAAAATGTTGCCGGAAGCTTTGATTAAAGCTATTCTACTCAGCGGTAAAGGTGGCAGTGGTGTTGGTGTTGGAGGAGAAGGAGAAGGTAGATGGCGCTCAAGAGTGTGGAGACCAATGGGGGGAGGGGGAGATGATAATGGATCAGGATGTAAGCCTGTGGGGAACTAAAAGGCTAGCGTCCTGTAAAAAGGAGCACTCGGGAGAGGTCAACGCCGAGGGGGTGGATCAATGCACTATGGAAAGAATAAATTAGGAGAAATGGCATAGTCAATTCAAGAACCTGAGTAATACTTAAAAGATGGCTGCGTAAAGGCGTGTATGTTTAATTAAGATGCTTTGAAAATATTGACAGAATGAAGCCTCAAAGGAAACGTATGAAACATAACCTATGTTTTTGTAAGTCACTAAGGACTTTAAAATTTTCTGTTTTCAAGCGTTTGGAATTCTTCGGCGACTTCAGAAAGACGCGTTTTAAATATGAGTGATACTCAGTCCATTTAACAATCTAATTCCTCTTCAGAAGAGAAAAGAGGAAAAACAAAAAAAAAGAGAAAAGAAAAAGAAATTTGCTTGCATTTTGATTTTTTTTAGAACTAAAAAATCATGATACCAATGCAGCCGTGCAAACCAACACCCTTCTGTAACAGACCCAGTGGAACACACAATGAAACCCTACCCTACCCAGTGCAGTATTTTGGCCTCTTCGGTATCTGACAAATAGTTTGTTACTACCTATATTTTGCTTCCTCGGCCACTTTCTATTGTGACTTCTACAAAAAAAGTGCACATCAGAGGGATGCAGGTACTTGAGATTGCATAAAAAAGTGCAAATCGTTTAATTAGTTATTCTACCCACAGCAATATGTAAAAGGTTTTCAAAGGTTTCATACCGGTAAGGATGTAAGGCCTGCCCCCCTTTTAGCTTTTATGGGAGATTCACAACTAAGAAAAAAAGAAAAATAAACCAACCTGGTGACGTTTTCCCCCAGAACCCGCGGTGAAGATATAGATTCCACTGGGTCTGTTACACAGGGGTGTAAAGCACGCACTATTTTCTCACCCGCGCAAAGTAACACCAAAACGATTCTTACTAAACTAATTTTTTGGGACGTGTTGTAAACTGAGAACTTGAAAAGGGAGATAAGTTAATAATGATAACGATAATGATACTGTACGAGATAGCATGGCGGTACCAAAAGCTATCCGATATAGCGTGAGTGGGAATATATATCTGGTATATTGAGCATAGCCTAAAACGAATCTTTTTAGAACTTTGTAGTTAATTCTTCAAGGTTGTAAATAAATAGAAAGCAATGCTGAAAAAAAAAAAAATCAAGAAACCTTGATCAAACAGTAGAAGCGATTCCTTCTGGTTCGATTTTGTCTAGGTGGGACGTAAAACAAGTTATGGGTCGATGAGAACCGATGATAACTGACAAGAGTGATACATTCAATTGACAGTCACGTGGTATAAACTGGCGCTGTTAAGCTGAACCGACTGAAAGCGAGCTAGACCTGAGTAAAACAAACACGATAAATAGAAATAAATCAATAAAACTTGAAATTTTCCCGAAGACGAACGTGATTTCACAAACAAATTGTCTTCTAATTATGCAAACCGTCTGTATGGAAGAAAAACATACACTGGAAAGCCCTTTAAAGATTTTATTGTTTTGGAAATTTTGAGATATTTTGACAGGACATATCGATCGATTCAGCATGTGTAAGAAAACATATTGCAATTTGTTTACCTTGTTTATTGGTATTTAAACACCTTTTATTTCACTTGTTTATAGCGAAGACATTCTTCAATCAATCGACTCCATTCATCACATAACTGTAAAAAAAAAACTAAAAGGGATTTGAGTCCCCGGTCAGGTTAAGCTAGACAGGCCAAGGAGTAAATTTTAGTTTTAGTCCGGCTTTGCTCATGGTTTTAAATCTTTCGTTCCTGTTTTTGGGAGTACTGTGTACTTCTGGTAAGTCACTTGCCGACAAAGATATATGACTTTAAAAACGTTATATTTTTAACAGCCCTGATTCCACGTCAGAACTGATAATCAGGGAAACGAATTAGGTGTATAGCCAATGTACACAGCAGAAAAAAGACTGCCCCCGTAAAGCGAGAGTCTTCGCAAATACAGCTGTATACATGTAACGCATTTTAGTGTACTAACAATTTTCAATATTTAAACATGTCCATATTTATACGAATGGTTGATTGCAATCATTTAAATATTTAACGCTAAGAAATCTCTTAAATAACTTTCAGTAATCTTTATAACACATAACCTTTTTCTTTCAGGAATCCGCATAGTCTTCGGTAAGATGAAAGTGTTTATGGGCGATCATTAACTGTGTTTCTTAACCCTGCCCCTGGCCAGCAGCAAGCTCTCCAAGGATCGGTGGCACTCAAGAACTGTTTTTTCTAAATATCCCTTAGAAGTAACAAATATAGCCTTAAATTTTCTGTATCTTGAGGGCAGCTAAAAATTTCAAGATGACCGTTACATTTATATACGATTTTCGAAGCTTATCTAACAAATTGTTTTATTCCCTACGATTATATGAAGTTCAGTTTTTCCCATTTCCCTCAAAATTTAAACTATATTTCGTGGAAAAAGAAAAACTATCATTTTCCGATTCGAAGATGTCATGGTGAAAGGAATCAGAAAAGTTCTGATACCTTATTGCATGTAAAATTTTCTGTGGAATAATACTGAAGGCCTTTTTATATCGAAAAGGCTCAGGTTGCCCTAGGATGACCGAACAGATATAAATTTACTAGCACCCCATTGAATTCATTTCTGGACAATCTACAAGTACTGTATATAGCCTAAAAACTCTTTTCAATATATTTAAGCGTAAGCCATCGTTTGGTGCCCCTGATGAATATTGTCGTGATAGGTCACGCGCGGGTTACGCGCAAAAAGTGTGCAAAAGGAAACAGAAAGAGTGAAAGGAGCCGATCGTCCAAACTCCCTCGCCTGTCGAAACTGAGCTTGTTTGCATGCTAGATAACAGCTCCCAAGAGAAGTAGCCATTGCCCAAATCACACATGAAGGAATATTCCCTTATTCTAGATTTCACTCTTAGAATTTAAGGCTGATTCACGGGGGGATTCCAAAAAGTTTAATTTTATACGGGGAGGTTCCGCTACCAAGTCCGACCCCATTCGCTTTTATTTACCTGGAAAGATACAGCGTCACGTTTCGTATACCTGCAATTGACAAATGCTATCCCTTTCACATTTCTAATTTAGAACATCTCTTTCAACCACTGTAAAAGCACTGCCTCACAAGTATGAGTAAATCGCAAAACCAGAACAATTTCTCGTCTTTTTCTCAGCCATGAAATGCATCTGTTAGGTCTTTGAGCCTTTTTACCAACCAAAATGAGAATTTTCCCCACCTTTTTCTATACCGTCTTTCAACAAGTGCAATCTCTATCTTTTCAAATTCCTAAAGCCTGAAAAAGATCTCTCTTTCGGGCGGAGGCTGCCCGTATAGGCCATTATAGAGATTATCCACCTCCCTGATGTCTAACACATACTAGACGCCAGCAGAAGCACGGTTACTTGCCCCAGAACCTCTTTGATAAAATCAGGAAAAAAATCATTCTTGATTCTAGATGTTCTGAATATCATTTGAGTGGGAGTAGGTGAGAAGGCTGACAGCTGAGGATTGGCCAAATTATGCACTTATGCCCATGTGAGCGTTGTGTGAAAGAGCTGCTTGATTGTGTTTCAGCCGAACACCTTCCGAATGAATAAAACGGAGTGAAAGAGGTTTAAAGTCCCCAAGGCACTCAAGATATGACTACCTAATTAAATTTGCATATTTTGTAAAATGCTATTTAAACCGGATTGCTTCCATCAGTGATCCTAAAAAGTGAACTTCAAATGTGGCTCAATGAAAAAAACACGTAAACGCGATTTCAAATAACTCGTGACATCAAACAGTAGAAGCGATTCCTTCTTGTTCGATTTTGTCTTAGTGGGATGGAAAACAATTTATTAATATTTATTGATTCCCAAGCCTTGCCAGTGCCATTTTGTTACCCTTGTTTCTTCTCTCTAATAAAAAGTATGAAAAATTAAGCTTAAATATCCGAGTCACCGGAGTCTAAAAAGGCATATTGTGTTTTTATATGGGTCGATGAGAACCGATGATAACTGACAAGAGTGATACATTCACTTGACAGTCACGTGGTATAAACTGGTGCTGTTAAGCTGAACCGACTGAAAGCGAGCTAGACCTGCGAAAAACAAACACGATAAATAGAAATAAATCAATAAAACTTGAAATTTTCTCGCAGACGAACGTGATTTCACAAACAAAATGTATTCTAATTATGCAAAGCGTCTGTATGGAAGAAAAACATACGTTGTGTAGAGGGGGACTTCTACAGACTTTAGGATTACGTGAAGGGAGGTGACACAACCAGAGTTTGGCAGTTGACGATGGTTTTAATCTTTCCGTTGAAGTTACAAACTCCTCTTAGCTATCTCGGATCTTAAGGCGTAACTGAGAAGTTACTCACAAGAGGTTCTATTTATATTGAACGATTAAGTTAATTGATTCTTTTTACAGTTTTACATGGCATTCATATGCAAGGAAAAGGTGTTAGTAAGTATCAGAGTTTAGAAAACAAAAGGAACTGAAATTGAGTTGATTCCCACTACACGTGGAAGAAATCTGCAAAACTAGAAATATCTCTATACCCAAATCCTTTACAGGGAACCAAAACGATAGTTTGAAAGAAACTAAATCTTTCCAAGATTGTGTCGAAAGAAATTCTAGTTTGAGGTCAGAAAAGTAAGTGAAATTGGGCTAAAACTGGTTTAACAGAGAACAAAGAACTCGAAAGGTGTTAGGACGCGTGGCCTTAGGTTAGATTTTAATGAGATAAGGAAATCTGATTATGATTCAAGTTTGAAAGCGAAAGTGAGAACCAACTCCAGGTTTAAGTAAACGAACTTCGTTAACAGGAAACGCTTGTTTTCCCATTCCACAGCTGAATACATCTACCTATTTCTATCTTTTGAACTTGTTTCTGTGTTTCTGAATAAGCTTGAAGAGGTGTTTCTTAACCTCAGTTAAACCTTTAGTTGTGAAAGACTGAGACTACACTTATGATGTTTCCTGCAAGTACCGTGCGTCCAACTTCTATTTTTGATTGATCCCAACACCAAAGAGGTGCAAAAATCTTTTATCAAAGGACTTGACTGACCAGCAAAGGTTTGCTAGTAAAATCTAAAGTGTATCCAGCTGTTCTGACAGCTTGTAAACACCATCCTTTGTCCCTTAACAAAAGATATTTGAGATATGGTGGAACTTTTGATTTCTGAACCCACCTAAAAACAAATTTATTTATATAATATATATCCCTGAATAAAGTTAAAATGCCCAACACCGAAATAAATAGAATAAACTGAATAAATATTAATGATTACGAAGAGAAGCGCATACAATAAAGCAGACTGAGCAAAAATGTACCCGGCTAACAATTGGAAAGTCCTTTAAAGATTTTATTGCTTTGGAAATTTTGAGATATTTTGACAGGACATATCGATCGATTCAGCATGTGTAAGAAAACATATTGCAATTTGTTTATGTTGTTAATTGGTATTTAAACACCTTTTATTTCACCTATTCACCTGTTCATAGTGCAGACATTTTTCAACCAATCGACTCCATTCATCACATCGCTATAAAAAAGACTAAAACGGACTGGAGTCCCCGGTCAGGTTAAGCTAGACAGGTCAAGGAGTATATTCTAGTTTTAGTCCTGCTTTGCTCATGGTTTTAAATCTTTCGTTCCTGTTTTTGGGAGTACTGTGTACTTCTGGTAAGTCACGCATAACAACGAATTTTAACCCTGAAATTGTCGTCAGTATAAAGGACTTTTTAACCGCGTTATTTTATATACACTGAGAGGATAACATCGTGCGCAATGACCAAGGCCAAACCAGTTGGAGACGACTTTCAGTCGACTGCTCTTCGGTCGACCGATGATCGATGATGATGATATACACTGAAGCCTGACTTCTCAAGGGAAAACTCGTTACAGTTTACACTAGCCGACAAAGATAAATGACTGTAAGGTCGTTATAATTTTTAACCGCCCTGATTCCACGTCAGAACTGATAATCAGGGAAAGGAATTAGGTGTATAGCCAATGTACACAGGAGGGAAAAGACTGCTCCCTTAAAGAGAGCGTCTTCGCAAATATACACGTAACCCATTTTAGTGTACTAAGAATTTTCAATATTTAAACATGTCCATATTTATACGAATGGTTGATTGCAATCATTTAAATATTTAACACTAAGAAATCTCTTAAATAACTTTCAGTAATCATTATAACACATAACCTTTTTCTTTCAGGAATCCGGATAGTCTTCGGTAAGATGAAAGTGTTTATAGGCGATCATTAACTGAGTTTCTAACCCTGTCCCTGGCCAGCAGCAAGCTCTCCAAGGATCGGTGGCACTCAAGAACTGTTTTTTCTAAATATCCCTTAGAAGTAACAAATATAGCCTTAAATTTTCTGTATCTTGAGGGCAGCTAAAAATTTCAAGATGACCGTTACATTTATATACGATTTTCGAAGCTTATCTAACAAATTGTTTTATTCCCTACGATTATCTGATCGAAGTTTAATTTTTCCCATTTCCCGGTTTGCTTCCATCAGTGATCCTGAAGAGTGAACTTCAAATGTGGCTCAATGAGAAAAACACGTAAAACGTGATTTCAAATAACACGTTACATTGCTTCGTCAGTGACGTCACAAAACACGTTTTCCTTAACGGGGAAGGGTTCCAAACCTTAGTCTTAGGAATTTTCACCACCAAAATGTTACATAAACAGTGTAAATCGTAAATCGCCTTGTGTGGTTGGAAATTAGCCAATTAGCTAATTAACAAGTCACGTGACCCTTTTCCCTCTATTTACCGTTTCCTATATAACGTAAACATACATACAAGGCGAATTTTTCAGAACCTTTCAATAGCCTCTAAAATGTACCTAAAAGAACTTGTTGCTCTTTTATTATCCTTTCCCCATTTTAGAGTAAATATTTTGACCGTTAATTCTCGTGACGAAAATTTGAACTCGCAAAATGTCTCATATTGCTAATGCCATTAAGCTTCATTAGTATTCCAATTTTCAGGATCAATAATAGGAACAAACCGTTCTAAATAGCATTTTTTCAAAATATGCATATTAAATTAGATAGTCATGCCTTAAGGTGGCTCGACTGGATTTTTTTGGGGGGATACCTCCCAAGTTTGAGCTTTAACTTCTTCAGCATGAGTAAAGATATGGGAAAAAAATTGCACAGCTGTTTTATATAAAGATGAAAATTTCTTATGACCTGGGTTTTATTGCAATCGAAGGCGCCATGGCAACGTAATGACGCCATTACGTTTTTTATTTATCTTTGTGTTTCTCTGTACTAGGAGTTCCTTTGGAGAAATCGCTTAAAGGAGTATGTACACTTGACCCAGGGTCCCTTTTCATGCAAATTCTATTATTTGGCTTGTTGTGCATGTGCATTTGAAACTTGAAAACAATGCCAGTGAATAATGAGGACGCTCACTTGTAAACACAAAATCTGGGCTAATTGTGTGGATAGCATGCTATTTCACTGTTTTTATGATTCTTAAAACTTTGTTTCAAAATATTTCCAAAATGCTCTCATAGAATTTGTTCAAACTTTGCCACAATTGAGTCAATTATGGCAGGTACGTACTCCTTTAAGCGATTTTCTCCGGCTACAGAAAAACACAAAGATAAATAAAAAACGTAATGGTGTCATTACGTTGCCATGGCGACTTCGATTGCAATAAAACCAAGATCATAAGAAATTGTCATCTTTATATAATAATACAGTTGTGGTAAACTTTTCCCCATATCTTTACTTATGCCGACCTATTCAATGCTCAAACTTGGGAGGTATCCCCCCCTAAAAAATCCAGTAGAGCCAACTTAAGTGGCCTAAGTCTGTTCCTACCGACTACCGTTAACGTCTTTCCATAACTCAGTCCATTGTAATTATACCTAAACTCTGTACAAAACATTTCATTATATAAGGTTTCCACCTCTACGTTAGGTCAAGCCCTCTTGTTGCCGCTGCCATACCATTAACACTGATCAATTCATAGCTCTGCAAGGGTTTATCATTTTACTAGCAAATACGTTCTGAGTATCTCTGGGCACTCGATGCCTCTCAGATACTTGTCCCGCGCATTCCTGATGTTGTAAATGACGGTAAAACATGTATCCTGTATTTAGCTTCCTTTGGAGATGAAGGTTTGGAGGCTCACAACAAGTACCGCAGGATCCATGATGCACCAGCCATGAGGTTGAATGATGATATGAGCCAGCAGGCCACAGCTTATGCCGGGCGGCTTGCACGCATGGGTAAACTTAAGCACTCCAGTTCCCGTGAGAGGCCAGGTCAAGGCGAGAACCTCGCTATGTCATGTGGCTATGGAGGCCTCTCAGGGCAAAGAGCTACTGAGATGTGGTGGGTATTTTGATGCTACTGGACATTTTTCACACTATACATTCTACATGTACAGGAAAGGAAAGTATTACACCTTCAGGCGCGTTCTATAGGTGTGCACTTCTTTATTGCGCATGTCATTTATGTCGCAAGGTCTCGCCACTCCATCCATCGGAAAAGCGTCGTAAAAATCAAAGTTTTGTCCCGATATTTTTATTCCGTCCAGCTGACTATCATTATGGAAGTGTTCAGACTGAGTTGATTTTAAAGGGGGGGAATTTGATTCGCCCTTGACAGTTCTCATTAATAGTATGCCTTAGCGGTTTAGATTATACCACTAAGCAGAAATGCAGTAAAACACCAAAGGGATTGTGAAAATCAATTGACCACGTTCTCCTGGAGTGTCCGACGGACAATTTTGCAGAAAGGATAGAAGTTTCTTTTTCTTAAAAATCGACTTTAAGGCTTTGCAAACAATACAAACGAGAATTTCAGCTATGCAGGGTCCTACATCGCGAATGCTAACCTTCAAACAATAACTCTGAACTTCTGAGATGGTTGGTTTTCGGTTGGATTCAAGACTAATAAGAACAAGCGTATCTCTTCAATAAGCGACTTTTTGTAAGCTAGTTCGGCACAAAAATTTGTATTGTTTTGACCTCCAACATGGCCGCTTAGTCACCTGTTAGCAAGCCAAGGAGACATCAACGACACTACAAAAGTTGCGAAAAATATGAGAGTCTCGAAAAATCTCATGGCTGTCGCAAAAATATATTAATGAAATTTAAAACAATTTCACTTACGCAAGGCCATCACAAAAAAGCCAAAAAAGGACTTTCTTTCTTAACGTATTACTGTGCTTCACTATATTTTCACAGGTACAAAGAAGTGTGTAAGTTCAACTTTGACAATCCCGGATGGGGTTACGGCACTGGGCACTTTACGCAGGTGGTGTGGAAAAAGAGTGTGGAGCTGGGAATAGGAAAAGCAGTCTCGGGACGGTGTACCTATGTGGTTGGCCGCTATAAGCCTGCAGGAAACGTGCTGAACAACTTCAGGGAAAATGTTGCAAAGGGAAGCTTTGACTGGAGGAGCTATTGTCGTGGTGGTGGAGGCGGTGGAGGTGGCGGTGGAGGAGGTGGATGGCGCCCAGGAGGGTGGAGGCCTGTAGGGAAAGGAGAGGTGGCTGGAGGCCTCTAGGACGTAACAATGGACGGGAAAGACGTAGACACTGAGTCAAAGAAATCCAATCTGCTTGTAACAATGAGAATCAAATAAAACACAGTATAAGAAACACACAATACCTTGCATTGTCTCAGATAACCCTCTAGGCTTAAGGTGGTCCGACAGGCCAACAATCATTATGTTTGTAATGAAAATGGATAATGAGTCCACTCCTTCCCCGAGAGCGAGAGCCTTCGAACAAAAACAGAAAGCAAAACAAACAAACAAACAAAAACTGTCCGTAAAAAGTGTCCGTAAAAAGATGTCCAGTTTCTGTTCGACTTTCGCACAGATGGCTGGTTGAATTAATGTCATATATTTTAAGTCCAATGAAGACGTTTGATCATGCTTTGACTTTAGGTCTAAAAGTCAACAAAACAAAAGGGTTTCATTTGACGTAAAACGGATGTAATTCTTTTGTTTGGGGCGTTGAAGAATACAAGGGTAAACAGTTTTATGCCCTGAAATAGACTAATATTTAAAAGAAAGCTGCGTGAAGGCGTGTGTGTTTAAGATGCTCAGAAAATACGTAGCGAATGAGCTGACCAAGGAGAGGCATGCATCAGTCAATTCTCTGCTTTCATGCGATGGAAGCTCGTTAGGCGATTTTTTTGTTAATTAAAACTCCGTCCATTTAAGTTTTTTATGTCATTTGCAAAGGAGAAGAAACAACAGAAAAAGGCATAGAAATTTGCTTTCTGTACCCGGAGTTTGCATTGATCAGTGATAAGCTGGTAAGTCTTTATAATCTACTTGAAGACAAATCGATCTGCTTGGACCTGAAGGCTGTGACCTTCGACGATCGTGAACCGGAAAAGATTTCAGCAACGATGCACTTTTCTTTGGTTGCGAAACACAGCAGAGAACTGAACAGCCATGTACTGAGTTGAGCTGAGTCAACTGAGCTGGATTGCTCGTTACTGATACGATTACTCTAAGCGGCCCCTGAGTACAGCAAAGTACTTTACAACTGTCTTTAAAGATATTATTTTTGTCATTTCTCTAATTAGACAGGTCCAAGCAGACAAGATCTATTTTTGTCGATATAACAAGCCAGTCCTTCAGTTTTCCCTTGTTATAATCTCTGTTTGTCGTAGCTTGCCCATTGCAAAACAAAATACTATGTTAATATCCATTTTCATTAAGCTTTGCTTAATCTTGGTCAATCTTCTGCACGCTTAGGAGCTGTTTCAGGGGTTTTGCAACTCGTGTACCGTCTCGAGTTTTAGGTTTTTGTCAGTACCAGGGTCAAGTGCTCTTCAAAGATAAGTAAATAACAAACAGGATTTTCTGTTCCATTGTTGTCCCTGTTCGATCGTGACCCAGGATCTTAAGAACACGCGGATTGTACACAGAGGGTTCGAAATCAATAGCATAACCATCTCCCTTTTCTGCTTTATGTGACGTCACGCCCCTGCAAGGGAGGCTAACAACTATAAATGTCACGAAACACTGACGCAGTAATACGATTCTACATCTATTTGAAATGCTATATCATAGCATACAGCATGTAGGGTTGCATTGTGAAACACGTATCACGAAACCGGGAATGACCTTTGCAAAACGCCTTTGAATTGCGAAGTAGTTTCATAGTACTCAGGGAACACCTCTGGGTTGGTTTAGGCTCCAGAGAAAGGCCAGGCTTCACTCAAAATTTAGAGTTATGTAGCCGAACCTGCCCTCCTAGCCAAACAGAACTTGCATCTAAACTACCCGAGTATGTCCCTTGTGAGTCATATACCCTACTTCGAGGAGTTGTAGTTCTTATTAGTTATTCCATTTCGCAAGCTTCCGTTTAAGCCCCTTACAATTCTAGGGAGATAAAATCGAGGCTGCGAGCTTAGCTTGACGTAATGTTTACGTGATTTTTTTAAATAACCTTTTAAGCTCAGCATCTGGATGTAATAACCTGCCGCGAGGCTTTCATTTAAGCCCTCTCTTAGGCTAGTTAACCAAGTTGTTTCTATTTCAAAACCGGCAAACCATGACAAACCGCACAAACCTCAAGATCTAATAAAGCATGCTATTTAATGTTATTTTTATCTACAGGTGATCTTCCTCCCTTATTAAAGCCACTGTTGCTGAACGCTAAGCGAGGCTAGCGTACGTGAGAGAGAGGGTCATTGATAACTGCTGTGATTACACAACTCGATCGCGTTAGCACGCGTGAAATCTCCTGATCACGTGCGCAAAAAATCAGAACAAGTGTCAACAAACTGGTTTTTGGAGGCAGTGCTTGCCGCATTGAAGGACTTATTTTAATGAGCGTTCATGAGGACCTTGTCCGCGCGTATTCCTGCCATTCTGAGTGGTGTAATTTTTCTTCTGGGTATACCTCTAGTATTATTGAAGCCATAAAACGATTCAGGATACATCACACTGGTTAAATGGCATTTTCAAAAGCTACGAGCTCTACTTTTGGGCTACTTTTATCCGTTCTCATCAGTTTTCAGGTAAGTTAAGCTACCGCCAACTTTTCTTTAGATAAGTAATACGTCTGCAGAGAAAAATCCTTTGCAACATTTTGTTCGCGTGCATCTTTATAGACTTTGAACTTGGCACCGAATATAATTTATAGTTTGTATCTCATGTATCTTTATATTTCCGGGCCTTTTGTAATTTGCAGTAGTCATAACTTTCTAATAAAATTTCCAGTCAGTTTATTGACAACTATCGTTGAAAAGATGCTCATATGCACAAATTCGCCCTCTTCCTATTCGTAAAACACAGCCTCTAAGCTCTTTTACACGAGTTGAAGATGAGAATTGCATTGATTATAAAGTTACTGCCCTCTGGGCACCTCTATATTTTGCCGGGCCTAACCTGTTTGTTACGCTCTCTGTGAGGTCTGCGGATAATTGGTTGATATTCGATAACTTTTCCTGTTTGTGACCGAGGCCATTCTAAATCAATTTAAAAGAGTTACATTCTTTCCATAACTTAAAAACCGGATGTTTTAGTAGCCTTTGAAACTCCTCGCTGTTTCAAGCTGCATTATTTCATTTCCTAAACCTAAAGTTGTCAATAAACGTTGCTTCGAGGCAAATAACTTGCCATAATGTTCAATACAAGCCAGAACACAGATGCTCTACCTGCCAAAAAGAACGTGATATAATGCTCATTAAACCTTGCTACGATTCCAATAGCAATAAACATTTAAGCGGCATTGGATAGGTTTTCAACAAACTACAATGTAGTTATAACAAATATACTGACTTTTGTAAACGATTTCCGCCTGGTTTTTATGGCGGTCCAAATTAAGCTCTGTTGAACAAGTGTCCGGAAAGAAGAAACGAAGGGGAAGAAGTAAAGGTAAAAATGAATTTTAAACGCAAGCCTGAGAGGAATTTTTCGTTAATTGCATTAAAACAAATTCTTAATATAAAAACCTAAAACTGCAAATTTTCAGCCGCCTGTCCTAGAACTGTGATGTGCCTTGCAAAGTACTTCTTCGCCTGAAGAAGGGGTTCAAGTGGATACGCCATTAACCCGAACTCCTAAGATCTGACTAGTAATTCTCCTTTCTGGCTGCTATTCATGTCCTTGTACATTATTTAAGAGAATCTGGGGTTATATCAAGATAACATACACAGTTACTTATTCTCTCGCCTGTCTGCCGGACAATGTATTGATATTACAAGGAGATTACATGCAGATCACTTCTGAGAGTTAAAGGGTTATATTTGTTAGACTCTAGACCTGTTCCAGTGAAAACAAAGATGAATTTGTGACCCTACTTCAGGAAATAAAAGCGCAAATCCATTGCAAAGTGCTTTTTCCCTGACTCAGTGATAAGGTTATAAAGGAGGCGGGTTATTTGGTCATAACTTGATCCAGAATAATCAGTTTTAATGTACATAAACTCAAGAAAAATAAAGCCCTGTTACTAAGAGAAAGGTGATTTTGATATCCTGTTACTAAGACAGAAGAGCGGAAAGTATACTTTGTTTAATAGGACATGAGTACACCCCCTAGCTGAAGGTGATTTTAAAGGCCCGGAGGGAGGTAGTTTGCTACACTGCGTTGCGTGACGACACTGGAAACGGCTGTGTCACCGACTAGGGGAGAGAGAGCTGCCCTATTAGATTGGCGGGGTGCTTAAGAGAAAATTCTAAAAACATTACTAAAAGTTACCACAAAGCCGCTTGATAGGGGTGGCTCATTTCGTTGAACCGCTAAGCGGGCACTGAACAGTCAAGGGAGCAACAAATAGTTTCTACCATGTTTGGCTCCAGCTCTTTAATGACCACGAATGCGTTAATGATGGTCGTCCATTAAAGAACCATAAGCAAGAACCAATCTAAAATGAGGTAACGTTTTGTTGTAATTTGCAAGCTGTCAGTCCTCTTCGTGGATTGTTCCGTGACCCTGAAACCGTGAGCTCTTCTGAAGACTTAAAGCATTATTGCACACAAGTAATAAACGGTATTTATGCTTGCACAAGTGCAATTTTTTCGAGCTAGTGTTCATTTCATGTCGGAAGTTAAAAAAGCAAGATTAAGATTCCGCTTATGAGGTTGTCCTTTTGGGGAAATATCAACTTAAATCTTTTTGTGAGTTTAACCTGGCCTTTGAATTAGAAAAATATACGGTCTTACCAGGAAAATATATGAGTCCAGTTCATGTTGACTTAAGAAAGACTTTAACCTATTCCTGTTTGAAAGATAAACAGGATACAAACAGGTTAAAAGATTAAAACGTTTTTATGTTTTTTTTTTCAAATCCAAGACAAATACTTTTTTTTTGTTAAAAGAACATTAAAGGTCCCAAATTGAAAGAAAATGCCAAAACACGTCTTGTCCTCCCTCAAGTTTATCTCCGGAGGGCGGCTTCTTGAATCCCCAGAGAAGTCGGTCTTTTAGCTGACAGTAATGCTTCCGGACAGCAGTCACGCACCAAAAGGCAGTGTCAAATAAGTGATGTTATCCGCTTTGTAGTTTCATAATACCTTTCGTTTCATTGTATCACGTTTTCTCAAGTAGCTTGGAGTAATTTTTTAATTTAAAAATCAAGAAAATTAATTGACGAAAAAGTAACGGTCAGTACTTGCATATGCTTTAGTTGTTGCACATGAAAGGAGCCAATTTCTTGGATGCTCCTCTTGAAATTTTTGTCCGCAGACAAAAAGAAAAACTTAGACTTCATTTACTTAGACAACCAAAGATCTATCTGCAACAATTTGCTTCCTAAGGAAATGATTTTGAGATACTTAGTGATTGTCATCTCAGCTCGTAGTTGTAGTTTACTGTTCATTTGCTTGTTCCTAACGCTGTAATGATTAATTATAGCTCTTTTATAATGTCCGTACAGGTACTCATATCAGCAGGTCCAGGAGGTAAACTATCTGTTCTTTTGAAGAGCTTCTCAAATCCCTCCAACGTAGACCTAAACGGGCAATGTTGTGACGCCACATGTAGGAGCTGTGATTACTACTTAAAGATTTGTGTGAAGCAAACTTCTGGAGGATCTTGTGTTGCTTATGCAACAACAAAAACCTACGATAACACGAAGTATATTGTCTTCAAAGTAAACGAGGCGTTTTCGAGTGGTGGAAGGAATCCTGTAGTATGGGCGTTTTCCTCATGGAAGGTAATTTGACGTATTACCCTAAACTCTCTAAAAAGCCCACAGGGAACTAATTTTTACCAGCCGTTATTAAGAGGGGGCTAACTGCAGAAAGGCACTTATTAGAGAGGAGAAGGGGGGTAATTATTTAGAACTGAAAAGGCAACCAGCCTTGGTAATTTATTTTATTTCATAAATATTCAAATGGCGGCATCAATGAAACACTTGGTGAAGGACAATATCATCATTGTACAGGGCACCATATTTGTTATACCAGACCCTTGACAATCATCACTAAATACAACTAAATACAAAGAATTGTGTCCTTTTCAAGAGACTGCTTTGTGCAATTAAAACTGGACCGCAGTTAGTGGGGAGTTGCTTATTAAAGAGCCCGGGTTTAATAAGCTTTGGTGGGGCTTGACTAAAAGAGGAAGGCAAATTAGAGAGACCACGGTCATCTTTGACTTCCATGCTTAATTTGATTCATCAAATCTAATTTTTAGTGTCAGTTCATACGTTGTGTTTCTACCGTGTCGAAATCAATTTTTGAATAAAGGTCGACAAAAACACGGCAAAAGCACGACTTCCGAATCAAAGTTTTGAACTTGATTCGGCCGAGCAATTCGACAAGGTCTGCCTTGCTACATGACTCTGATACTCGGCTTATTCCGTGTCGTACAGTCGACTCCCAATAACTCGAACCTTCAAGGGAAGTCGAAAAAGGTTCGAGTTATCGGGAGTTCGAGTTATCGAGAGTTCGAAGAAAATAGCCGAGAGTATGGTAAAAAAGGGTTTTACTGCACAGTGAACATTTTAATCACATTTAATTGTAGAAATGTCAAGTGAAATTAAAAGATACTTCTAGATTATAAAACAGAACGTAACGTAACAAAACATAGCCTAAATAGAGCATGCCTTTTACTGTTTTGAGAAGAAAAGGTGCTTCATGTTAGCCTGTGACAATCAACATCAGCCTCCACTAGTAAACTATACTCCTACAACACGTCAATAGGAAATCCAAAATTTAATGTTTCGGAAGCCCGTAGGCGGCTTTTTCCCCGACTTTTTAAGGGCTCAAAACATGGTTCGAGTTATCGAGGGTAAAATTATATAGAAAATGACCTGAGGGGAAACGAAAATTGGTTCGAGTTAGCGGGAGTTCGAGTTATCGAGGGTTCGAGTTGCCGAGGGTACATTTACAGTGAATCAAGAGACTATAAAGGGGACAGAGAGGGCATCCCCCATATACACCCTATTCCATAGGTAATTCGTCTCGAGTTATTTTTAGAATCGGGATAAAGTTACCTCGCGCGAGGCGTGGATGTTTCGTGGAGGTTTCGCATGACCAAACGCCGTGCAAAACATGTCGGGCGAGAGGCAATGAAAGCGTAAAAAGATCGAGAGCATTCCTGAATATTGAAGCGAATTGACTCGGCACTCACCTGGGAAAAAGGAATCGCTGGACTCTTTGACAACCCGTGAAATCAGTTTAACTCGAAGTTGTCGTAACCTCAGTGCTTTAATAAAATGAGAAATTTCGCTGGTCTATTGAAACCGGTCGTTTGCACAATTTAGGGAGTTTAAGATCCAACGACGCGGACGACAACTAGAACGTCAAAAAACAATAGGTTTAATTAGCAAAACAACAACTTCGCACGTGCAACACACTTTTTTGTTCATTTCTTTCCCGTTTTTGCACGACTACGACGTGAAAATGCCTAATTTCGCGTTTTATGGAGGACGTAAATAAGCAACGACGAAATTTTATTTCTCTTTCTGAGCTTGAATATGATCCCTTGAAATTCAGCTTTCGGAGGGTTCGCCTACAATTGACAAAGTAATTGGGTAGGAATAATCGCTATAAAGACTGAAAAAAATAAACATCAAACCAGAAATTGCTCTCTTCAAACTGTAAATTATAAATGATCCTGAGAGAATATTCAGTGCATGTGTTAAGGATTTCCCTGCTCTACTGTTAGCTCTATACAAGAGAGGAAGGGCGATTTTTTTTAAATTTCGGTTTCGCTGACACAGCTTTCGCAGAAATCTTGCTGTAGTCGTTTTCGTCGACAAAAGGAATAGCAAAATCGCTCTTCGCGTCTTCCCCCATTTTGTTCTGCGTCATTTCGTGAAGGACGCGTGGCTCTCAGTGTGGGTCATCCACGCGGAACACATTCGCGCTATGTGATGGGCTGTTGTCTAATCCCCCTTGAGATCTGTGGTGTTAAAAATAACTCGAGACGAATTACCTATGCAATAGGGTGTATACGGGGGATGCCCTCTCTGTCCCCTTTATAGTCTCTTGCAGTGAATGTATGACGGAAATCCAGGGGAAATCGATTTTGGTTCGAGTTAGCGAGGGTTCGAGTTATCGGGAGTCGACTGTACTAAATTAATAAATTTCGGAAATGAGTTTTTAAAAATGTATATTTTTGTTTCATTTACCGCTCACTTGATATTTCGTTCATATATTTAAGTTCGACAGAAGCACGACGTCTCAATTGAAGTCGCGCTTCTGTTATACGTCTGTTGAACCCTTTACAACTGAGTTCAGCACGGTGGAAGCACGACGTATGAATGGGCTTTGAATTCGATTCTTAAGATCTCATGACTTTCTTGCCTTAACAAGTGCTTGATCATTTCACACTCAGAGAAATGATCTATTTTTCAGGGCTCATTTGTAGTGAGAGTCGAGGCTATGGACGATGACCATTTTTCAGATGATCTCGTGGATAGGTATGAACGCAGGATAGCTGTTATTCCCTCATCCTGGGCCTCACCAGTAAAGTGGCGGCAAGTAATTCTGGGAGGCAACCCCTCCACGACAGTGCTGCAATACTCTGTGCAATGTAATCAAGACTATTATGGGCCCAGCTGTACCACACACTGTGTAGAACGTAACGACGATACTGCGGGTCACTATACTTGCGATAAAACTACTGGTCACATTATTTGTCGAGTTGGTTGGCATGGGTCAAGCTGTAAGGTATACTGCACACCCCATGATGATTCTATACACGGGCACTACACGTGTGAGCCTGGTACAGGAAGAAAGGTCTGTCTGCATGGCTGGTATGGCTCTAGTTGCAAAGTGCCTTGTTTGCCTAGAAATGACTCTGTGGCGGGTTACACTTGCAATTCGCAAGGACAAAAGATTTGTTTGCAAAATTGGTTCGGAAAAAATCACTGCAATTTGTATTGTAAGCCAACCAATGATTCATCCTCAGGTTATACGTGTGACTCAACTGGGAAAAGGTTGTGTTTGAAAGGTTGGTTTGGTCCATCATGCGATTGTAATCCCAAAAATGATTCGTCTATGGGTTATACGTGTAACACTATCACTGGAAAAAGAGAATGCCTGGTGGGATGGTTTGGAAGGAAGTGTGACGTTTTCTGTTTGCCAAGAAACGATTCTGTGGGCCATTTTAGTTGTCACAGTGATACAGGAGCAAAAGAGTGTTTACCAGACTGGTTTGGTGAAAACTGTAATGTGCATTGTAAATCTCGAAATGATTCACTTGGCCAACACGAGTGCACAGTTAATGGAAGCGTTATATGTTCTCGCAATTGGTACGGTCGGAACTGTACCGTATATTGCGTTGCGAAGAATGATATTGAAGGTCATTATAGTTGTCATCCACAAACAGGACAAAGTATTTGTCACCAAAACTGGTATGGAGAAAATTGCAGCACAAACTGTGTTCCTCAAGATAACGACTGGCTTGGTCATTACAACTGCAATAAGACCGACGGCAGTAAACAGTGTCATAGCAACTGGCATGGACCGCGTTGCACTCTCTTCTGCGCGCCTCGCAATGATTCTGGCGGACATTACTTGTGCGAAAAAACTAATGGTAGCAAAGTTTGTTTGGAGAACTGGTTTGGAACTGAGTGCAAGAGGTATTGCAAAGCAATGAATAACTCACAAGGACACTACAATTGTAGTGCTGAAGATGGGACCAGGATATGTCACAAACACTGGTATGGGCCAAACTGTACGGTGTATTGCGCACCAAGAAATGACTCCAAGGGACATTATCTGTGTGATCATAGCGATGGCAGTAAGATGTGCCACACCAACTGGTACGGTCGGCACTGTTCTACCCACTGTGCTCCAAGGAATGACTCCAAGGGACATTATGATTGCGGGCCAATAGACGGATCTAAGATTTGTCACCAAGACTGGTATGGTGCTAACTGCTCCGTAAGGTGTGTCTCTAAAGATGATGCCACTGGCCACTACACCTGTGATGTCTCTGATGGAAGCAAGTTGTGCTACAAATATTGGTTTGGCCCTAACTGCACGACATTCTGCAGACCACAAGACAGCTATCAAGGACACTACACCTGCCATACGGAAACAGGTCACAAGGTGTGCATTGAAGGGTGGGAAGGAGAGGAGTGTCTTCACAGTAAGTTTATGACAAATCATTTGCATTGTGAAGTCATATTACTTTTGATAGCTGTACGCATAAGTAAGACTCGCAGGAAATCCCTTCCGCAAGCATAACAAGCAAAACGAAAGAGAAACGGCCCAGCCTTTCCTGATTTCCCTTAATCAATTTATAGTATTCATGGCTGCAATTTCATTTGTGACGTGGGAATCAAACTGACTGCGGTAAAGAAAACGCACTTCATTTGAGTCTCAATGTATCTTGCATAAAAGCACTGATCGACGACACTGTTTTGCTTCTCCTCATGTCGACTGAACTAGGTCTTGCGCTCTATCGACTGAACGAGTCCAGCGTCAGGACAGATTACTGAATATAATAACTTATGTATGGAATGGCAGGAAAGGAGGTGCTTTTTGGCCAGCCTCAATTAAAAAGGACTATCTTAATCGCTTTAAAAATATTAACCAATCGTCATAAGGATGGTAAAAAAATACACTTTTAACCAAGAATCGACAAAACAAAACGAAAACCCCCATAAAAGCCGTTTAGCCGAAACCGATTGTGGCCATTGAACAGAATTTAAGCCTCCTCCTGATGAATCGTTACGAAAGTTACAAATTTGCAAGACTAGCTAAGAGTTGTTTATAGTCTCTCTTTTCAACCAATATGAATTCCTCCAGATTGATTTTGAAATGTTCATTTTCTTATTCTTTCAGGAGTTACTACTGGTCCACCTGAAACAGCGTCTCCTCCCACTACAGCTCCCAGGTTAGAAAGCACAGAGATCAGCTATACATCCAAGCTACCTTCTAATAGCGGAATACTTCCCATAGAGAAACAAAGCAGAAGTGAAGCTCGGAGAACGTGGATGACAAAAACACGAATCGGTTTGATCAGTGGCGGCTTTGCTCTTCTTTTATGCCTTATCACTATGGCTGTGATTGTTCTATTGAGGTAAGCATACACTGTTAAAATATCAAAAAACTTTCGCTTTTAATAAAAGCTGTTTAAAGTAATTTGCGAACATCTATTGAAATAAAATGCGCATCTGTATGAGTGGCGTAAAAGGCGCGCCCGTAAAACGGACACAACAACTTAGGAATGAACTGTTGAGCGTGAAGACGCGGGGAGTTATCAAATGTTGTCCGTATTATTTTGTCTTTTAGTAATACGCCTGTTGTGATTGGCCATTTCAGCGGGCCGTATATTTCACTGTGGGGCACGCCTTATTCAAGGTTTTGGTCATAATGAAGTATTGAGTTGATTATGGTTCTCACGTTAGTCATGATATCCTTTAGCTGTAGATCACGACACCGTAAGCAGCCATTTCAGTATAGACGGCAACACAATGAGAAAGGAAATGACTTGGGAAGTTCACTGGACAGACGCCCTAGTGGTAGAGTGAATCCGGCCACCGACGTACTTTCTCAGTATGAGATGAACGACATGTTCTTTAAAGTCCAAGAGGTTTCTTGGTAAGTCGACAACATCCTTCGGTAAAGTTTTAGCCTGAGAAAACAGCCCGCTTTTGGCGACGCTACCACTGGTTTCTCCGCCAAATGACGTCTGAGAAACGAGGGCAGAAATTCCACACTGATGACGCGTCATTACCCAGATCTGGGTAGTGCTTCTGATTGGTCGCGCCGCGTGGGAAATTTGATTCAACCAATCAGAAGCAGTATGGAATTTCTGCGCTCGTTTCTCACTGAGAACAGACGTCATTTGGCGGGGAAACCAGTGGTAGCGTCGCCAAATGTCGGCTGTTTTCTGAGGCTAGTAAGGTTCCGAAAGTCATGATTTCGAGAGTAAAGATACATCTTCCTTTTTTGGTACTTTGTAATTGGCTTGGGAAATATGGAAGAATATATTATGCTTTATCTTTTTCGTTTTACTTAGGGGCGAGGACGGCTCAAGGCAAGTAGAGGACCACCTAGTCATGTACAACAACCCCCTGTTTACCAAAAGAGATCAAATCAAGAGCTCTGTGAGCACAAGGCAACTGGCTCTGGACAGTGAATGGAATGTGGTGTTTGATTTATAAACGGGTGCATATTTAGTCTCGAGAGGGCTGATCGCCTGTAATAGCTTGTAGCTCACTGTAAAATTGAGTTTAATTAGGATTAAATTATGTTGTAAAAATATATTTTATTTAATTATCGAAACAATATTACCTTCAATACTTTTTGTTACTGAAATTGAAATATTATTGACATAATGACGACAAAGAGAAAAAAGATTAAAACGCTATTGTTAAAAAAACTCTGTACATATTCTTAACATAAGAAACATGTGAAACAGGAAAAGAAATAGGATGAAAGCTTGTTAATTTACATCAATTTTCCAAGCTTATAAAATGAAACAAAAAACAGAAAGAATTAGAAAGAGTTCTACGACAAAATCTGTATTGGATTGAATATTACCTTAGCCTTTATCTGTTTGACAATGGTATCTTTTAGGGGTCAATAAAGCATGCGAAAGCGTTATTTGATTCATTTCGGGGTTTAATTCAATTTTTCCGACCAGCATTCACCACGTTTATAGGTGATTGTTAAACTAGCACTTTCAAGCTATGAAGCACGCACAGCTTTCTTCTTCTCGGCTCTCCTGAGTTTATAAGATAGTTGATGAAAATTAATTCCATTATAAAAGTTTCGCGATTAAAAGATTACAAATACAAAAAAAAATTCAATTTTACCGAGAATTACATGGATAGTTCATTATCTATCTGAACAATTAATAATGTCATCTGTTTTAGTACCTTGGTGACTTCTTTCTCGATGAAATGCTCACTATTGGTTTTCTTTATAGTTTCCTTTTTTTTTTCACAATGCGGTTTCCTGTTTCATCTGAGACACAAAATTCATTGGCCCTATGAATGATTAACTTCAACTATATTCATTTCTTTTCTTAAAATTAAATTAAAGTCAATTTGATTGAATAAATATTACAGTCAAATTTATTTCTATTTCCAGTTCATAGTAACTGGTAACAATGCATACAATTAAGTTATAGGATTTCATTGAAGTAGACTGACTGATAAGATACAATAAAGGGAAGCGGTGCGCGAAAAGCAGTGCAAGAAAGCTTCAAAATGTAATCGCACCAACATTCTACTATAGCCATGATTATGTTCAAGGTCAAAAACTAGAACCACCGTTTACAGCACCTTAAAGCAAAGTCCTGCTAAAAGAAGGCAAGCAAATCGCGTTTTCTTCGGTGCTACCGTTCAAGTGGGCCAGAAGGAGAGCGATTCCGACTGTGCGCTTAATTTGTTGTGACAAACATTTCATTTGCAAAACAAAACATCAATTTAAACCTTTGGTGACGGACAGCTGCAGCTACACAGGGCAAAAGGAGTAGTTAGTAATAAGAACGATTTTTTAACCAAATGCTCCTTTTTGAATCTGTTTTCTGCCAAAAGGAGACATTACTGTTTACAATCATTGTTTTTGTTATTCAAATTTGTAACAAGTGAAACAAAGGAATCATCTTTTTCAAAAACCAAAGCGCTTCTGCCTGAGCATCGCTTTTAAATCTAACTTTAAATGGCTAAAAAATAATATTGCCATCAGTAAAGACTTTTATCCCGCTGCAGGTAATTTAATAAGCTTTATTTTGTTTTGAGAGAATTTATACCTTCTGCCCTTAAACTGAAATTTAAATTTTAATTAGAGTCAAAAATTTAGCCAATGAAATAAAAGTGCAATATTACTTTAATACAGAAAAATAAACTTGTATTTCAACTTTCAAGTGATCGATGAAGATTTTGCGTAGAGAAGAACATTTTATTATGTCAATAACTCAATTTTCCACCTAATGGAAATGAAGCTGAATCAAGCAGTCGAGTGAATAATGAAACACTTTTGCAGTAGAAAATATCAATAAAGACAAGGTTATTAATAACTCACTTTCCACTTATTAATTTGAATCAGATTTTTTGAATTAAAAATGGTGCTTGCAAAGATTATGTAACTGTTATATTTCAAAAGTTTCTGAAAGTAAAACAAATCAATAAATAACAAAAAATCCGACGAGAAAAACGCAGAAACATTTTTACGGTGGACATTAAATAAAATAGTGCAATAAAACTGAGCATAATAGGTTGCCAGTTGTATCTACAGTCCCTACAGCTATCTACTTAGCTCGAGTTGTAGCTATAGAAACTTGTTAACTCAGTGTAAATTCCACAGATCGGATTTGCGTATGTTTTGTGTTTGTATGCGTTTCCAAGGCTCGTGGGTAGAAAATAGAGTGCTGTTTCGACATTTTTTCTTACCTTCTGTATTCCAAGGTCGTCAACGTTCTTGAAGATCTGTTCTTATTGTGAGCAGTTCTGGATCACCCTTCTCGGTTCTCACCGTTTTCCGAAAGCTCTTTGAGCTATGGAACACGATGGCCAATAGATCTGAGAACTACAGACGTTCGTCTACGCCTAAACTGCCACCCGCTATAAGGATCAACGGAGCCGACATAGCTCCCGTTGTACTGGGCTCGATATAAGCTCGATCAGAAAACCGGGTCAAATCATTGAATACTGATATTGTCAAACGGATAATTTTATCTACTTCTTGTAAAATCTGCCACTTATCTTCCAGTGAATCACGCACATCTTTTTCTTCGGTGAATCGTTCTATGTGCCCATTGTTCCTTGGTGTACTTTAAATATTAGAACATGGAATTCCTTAGATTCTTTTAAAAGGAAGCTCAAGACCCATCTCTTTGGAGGACGCATTCTTATAACATTTCTTTATAGCATTTCTTAGCATTTTTATATCATTTTTTTTAAATAGCATTTTTAGCTTTATAGCCTTTCGCATTTTTAATTACATTGATTGTAACCTTCGGCCATGATAGGTTTTTCTTTCTGTAAACGCATTGAGGCAATGCATAATATGTTTCAAAAACTGTAATAATCATTATTTTTAAATCTTCAAAATCTCGAGTACAGCTTTTCTAATATGGCGGTCTCTCTAGCAGTAAATGACTGGATTAACTAAAGAATTTGAAGGCATTAGGCTGTGTTCACAGTATACCGGATAGATATTGCGCCGCCACGAAGATCATACCGGATAGGGCTTCTGTTCACACATAAGAACAGTTGTGGTGGCGCGATTTCTGTGACGGATCGAAGCTGCGCCTCGCCGATCTCTAAAGAGGAGAGTCACATATGAGATATAAGTGTTCACCACTAAAAGCCATCCGGTTTAGTGTGTACACGCCATGACGACATTTTAAAAAGAACGGGGAGTTCTTTTCGTAATAAAGAGAAAGAAACATCAGGAACGAAGCTGTTGTGACCAAAGCAGTAGAGTAGTATAGGGCGCATAGGTTACTTTGTTTTTTTTTTTAGGGGGAATCTCATTAATTTGAGGAAGAATACCTTAACATCGATGACGTCATGGACTTTTGTCTTTATCTCAATTCTGTCAAACCGCTTAAATAAAACTAGAACATGACAAACGGGTTAAAGTGGTAAAGGTTAGGTGAGTATATTGTTTCTACTGTAAAGGGAAAATAATGAGATTCCTCCGCAATTTATACATGAGATAAAGACAAAAGACTATGAAATCACCGGCTTTAATACATTCCCCCTAAAATAAATGAAATTCTCCCTTAACCCTTTAAGCCCTGAGAGTGATCAGCATCAAATTTCTCCTTGTAATATCACTGCTTTATAAAACACAGAGGTCATGAGAATTGAGAACGTGATCACACAAGGTGAATCTAATTGATACTTCAACAAATTCTCTTCATCACTTCTATTGAAAACGTATAGGGATAACAAATGAGAATTTGAATTTTGAAGTTAGGGTTTAAAGGGTTAAAAAAGAGGAGTAACCAATGCGCCAAATGCTTCTTTCTTGGGGATACTTCCTTTGTGTCAGCAGTTCTGGATCATGTTTCTTGCTTCACACCGTTTTTCGAACGCGCTTAATGGCGCCATTTACCATGATGGCCGATGGTAGTCATGCGTCAGTCTACGCACGAACTGCTTCCTACAAGGATCAAAGGAGCCGACATAGTTCTCTTAACCGACGCTGTACTGGGCTCGATATGAGCTTGTTCAAAAAAGCGGGTCAAATCATTGGATGTTGATCTTGTCAAACGGATATTTTTATCTTTAAGTTGTGTAAACCACGCACAACGTTTCGTTCGGTGAATCGTATTATGCCCCCTGCATTCTCCAGCAATTTTGAATCATGTTTCTCGCTTCTCACCATGTTTCGAACGCTCTTGATGCCATGGACCATGATGGCCGATGGTAGTGAAGGGCCCACGCCCAAACTGCCCTCTTCAAGGAACAACGGAGCCGACCTTGTTTCATAACAAATGGGAACAATCTCTTGATGTCACCATTTTCGTTTTTTTCCAACTCGTTATTACAACTTTTGCTCTTCATTTCAAGGAAATAAATCGTCCGTAAAAATGACGGTTGATGAAATTAATGTCTGATAGTAATGACAGATTAGTTAGTGAGGGCGTTCAATTTTTCTTTAGCTTTTCCTCCGAAAATTACAATGTTTCTAAACTAGGAAACATTATTCATTCTTTAAAGCGAACGTCTGCGAAGTCTCATTTTCATTAAGTGAATGTTCGTTTATGAAAATAGAATATCAACAATAATTATTATTTTAAATTTATAAACATTTTCTTGCAAATATCACGTTGGATTTAAAGGCATGCTTTGTTTTACAATAAAAACCTTGTTTTGCAGAAATGGTGTAAATGTGCATAGTACGTCGCAATCGTATCGTTTCAAGGCTTGTGATTTGCTGACGTGCTTGCACAAACAAACAAGAGGTGAACTGAGTCGGGGAGCAGGAAGAAAAAGAAAAAATAACGAATACATTAATGACGAGAGTTGTGTAGGTTCACATAAACCAAAACTAGACGAAGTCGAAACAGAGACCATACGTAACATGAAGTTTTCCTCCTACACTAATTACCTCTGTTGGTAATGATAACATGCATATTAACGTTAACGAAAGTTAAGAACGTACAAATGTTGTTTTTATTCTCTACAATGATTGTCATTTCCATTAAGTGAAAATGTTATATACATCATCATGAATGTTCCTAGCTCAAAACTCTTCAATGACCACACGAAAGATTAGTATTTTCTGCAAAGATTATCATGATTTTACTGACTGCATTTTTGACGCTAATGAAAAATTATTTCTTCTACAAAAAAGGCAAAGATGTAATGTTTCTTAACCTTACTAACTGAATACTGAATATACCTTCGGTGAATTTGTGCGTACTAGCACGGCAGCAATTTTCAAGCGGAAAAATTTAGTGATTGCGGCGAACAATTTGCGCTAATCCTGCAATACGTCTGCAATACGTTTCATATTCTAAAACCTCGCCTCCGAATTAAAGCGTGGCTACAAACTCCATTAATTTTTGCCGTCCGAACGAGAGTTCCCCCATTGTCACCTCCATTAAGCGGCCGTCGAACACTTGATATACTTAGTCTGGCTTAATTTCAAGCGGTATTTTCAGGGGAAGCGTGTTCGTAGCAAAATAAACTGATATCTCTATTTAAAAAGATAATTCTAAGTTATGACAAACCTCTATTGAGAGGCCAACAGCCATTAAGCGGCCACTTGCCGATATCACATGGGTGGCCGCTTAATGAAGTTTCAACCGTATTTTAATACGCGCGCGCTCGAGGTCTGTTTCACCAGAAAATAGAAAGTTTAAGCTTCACGTATACGGCAAACGTCACATTCAAGTTGAGAATTTCTCAAAACAGAAAATGTGCGAATAAAAACAGCTCAAAACAATTCTTATGGATAAAAAAATTCGTCAAACTATTAATTTAGGTGTGGATTTAAACAACAAGTGAAGAGGAAACTTGGTCACGTGGTACAAATTCGCCTTTGCCGATTTTGTTTAGACTTGATAGAACACGAATTGCAAGAGTTTGTTTCGCAGCTTTGAAAAAGCTTCTATTTAAGACCCTACCAGATAATATGTTTTAATTACCGTGAAGTTATCAGTGATTGGAAAAAAAGGTATCAGTAATGGAAGCAATGGTTTTATTTTGTTTGCCAAGTGAAAGGACTTTTGCATTAACAAGCCAGAATAATCAAAATAAATTCTGGGTTATTTTCTTTAAAAAAGCAATAAAAGCTTTTTGTTATCCAGCTCTCCTAACTGTGGATGGACGCATGGTTTCATATTTTCAGCTCTAAAGGAATCGGAAAATCAGAGGTCACCTCGATACTCCTCACTGAAGCTCGTATTTGTTTGTATAATCTATATATGAATGGTAATGCTCCTTTGCTGATGGGTATTTACAACACCTATTCAGGCTATTACAAGGTCAGACGAAGATTATATGTTAACGAACGTTTTGTAAAGCTAACTTTATCTGGGAAAAATATAAAAAAAGTGGGCCTGACAAAATATGGACACTTATTCCATGCTTGGAGTAATGCTTAGAAATATGAAATGAGACTGACTATAAATAAAAAAAAATTAAATCTTGCAAAAAGATCGTTATATCTATGTCAGAACATCATCATTTGTGTCCTATGATGGTTACTATGTTTTCAAAGAAAAAATCACCCTTGGTTTGCTAAATTATGTGTTTGTTGTGCTAATCAGAGGCCCGTTTTAGATCCATTTTAAGGTAAGAGTCGGTGTATTTCTAAACAACGAAACTGATTTGGCTTTGACAATTCATTTTCACTTACCAAATACAGAATAAGGGCTTCTTTCAACAATTTGGTTTGTTTCTGGCCTGAATTTTGCTCAAAATTCCATTTTGCAACGCCTTAGAGGAACCTGAAGTGTTTGTTCCAAAAATTCAATAAACCGTAGTAAGCCAAATTTTTCTCAACTGATTTTGATAATTGGGTGACTAAGCTAAACAGTGGTATAGGTATGAAAGTTATGCAAGAAGGCAGGTGAATATACTGACATTTTGAAAAATGGCTATTTTGGGATGTAGTTTTAACATCAATTTTGGCCAAACTCTAGCCCCAGGCTCCTCTCTGTACAATACCTTGAGGACAAAGTTTCATGCATAAACTGAAAGCTCTGTTATAGTAGAGTTCATGGCCAAATTCATTTGGTAGCACAATTTACCAGTGGGGTCTTATGGCACTTTCAAAATACCCCCTGGAAGGCTGGATTTTTGGTGCTCAAAGGGCAAAAAATGAGACACCCCCCGTAACTCCAGCAAAACTAAAAGTCAGAGAAGTGAGCCAAAGTGGCTTTTGAAATATCTCATGGCAACCAACTTCTGTGCCAAGTTTCAGCCAAATCGGTTGACCACAACTTTTGGCCCCTGGAACACTTTCTCAGACAATGACACTTAAATCACTTAAAATTACATTTAATGTTTAACTATTATTGTAGCTCTTCTTACCATGAAAATTGCAATCTTAGTATTTTTTTCTTTCTGTAATATTTATTCTATGTGGCAAAATGTGTAAATAAATAGATCAATAAATAAATTTGAATTTCACCTCCGATTCCCCTGTGCCTACCACAAGGCCAAGAGGGCACGCGTGCAAGATCCCCGTCGACTGAGCTGTAAAATTTCCGCCAATCAGCGCGAAGCGGAAACGAACACGAATGTAAACAATCACTGAAAAACACGTGCTAAAGGTTATGATGTCATTATTAATATCATCTCCGCCAATCAGCATTTCGCATCAACTTTTTTGATGCAGATATTCAAACTCCAGAGACGTAGTTGTAAGCTCTCCTTCCTTTCCCTCCCCGCCGCCAGAGCGCCCCCCGGAGAGCTTGCTCGCAGGTTACGGCTGCGCTTGCAGCGAGAACAAAGCTAGCCACACCCTTTGGGAACGGTATCTCTCTAACTGCGACTACCTACAGAAAAAAATACCCCAAACTTCAGGAATAAAGAAGAGTAATATCCTTAAACTTGCTTACATGTGAACAGTAAAACGTACATAACCACGGCCATAACTCTAGATATGACCTAAATGTACCATAGATGAACCGATTAACAACAAGTTCACTTCCTTATATCGAACATTGTACATTACAGTATTCACTGTTGTCAAAAGTACACCTGCTAGTGCGCAACCACTGGTAGAAACAATACAGAGTACTACCTTAAAGAAAAATTCATTTAAGTGCCATCTGTTATTGTAAAATCTTGCTGTATGACAGCTTTACTCTCCTTGAATGGAAAGGGTAAAAGGTAAACTTTAAGTGGACAGAAACACTTTAAATTTCTTCCGTAAGCAAAGTAACAAGCTTCCTTAAAACAAAGAAAATGCTGACAATGAAATGAACTGAAAATTCAAGGAAACAAATGAATTATTCTTTTCACTGAAATTCGCCCATTGAAAACGCACTTTCGGCAAAGAGAACATGTACGGAAGTACAAATTTGTTTGAATACACTATTGTTTCTAAAAGGAAAAACAAAGAGGTTGAAAAAGAAGGCGCGAAATTACTCAGTCAGATAGTGCTACTGACGAGACTGTATTTCCGATTAATTTTATAGATGGGTAATGAGCTATCCTTGCCATTGTCGGTAAACGTGTTTGTTTGAAATGAAAAAAAAAAAAAAAAACATTTAAATCTTATGACAATAGCAAGACTTTATAAATGAATTACTCTCGTCCTTATACAGCCGAGGCGCAAAAGGCCGTTTAATTTGCCGTGATGCCTCATAGCCTGAACGGGCTTGTTTGAAAATAAGATTTAGAACGGCTTCACAATGCATCACAACGAGACAGAAACGAGCATCGCTTTATCGAATACGACCAGGTCGGTATTTACTTGTCCACATGTTCCAGAATTAACATGGGACGTGCATGACACCATTACTCCATGGATTTTTGCTGTTGTTTCTTTTACGATCTCACCCACAGCAGTTCTTTTAAACGCCCTAGTAATCATAGCAATGATGAAAAGAAGAGGACTGCGAACTCTTTCCAATATCCTGTTGGCAAGTATGGCCGTTACCGACCTTCTCGTAGGTGGTATATGCGTTCCGTTATCTGCTATAGATGGATTATTACTTCCCTATCAAATTCTTGCTGGTCAGCATATTTGCACGTTAGACGTGGCAACTGCCTTTGTCACATTCACTATGTCGTACGTTTCACTTGTCCATCTGGTAATCATTGCATGGGAACGGTACGTGGCCATTCGAAGATGGAGGGACTATAGAAGTATATTGACTAAAGGCCGTTTAAAAAAGCTGGCAGTAATAGCTTGGATTTCATCAATACTATGCATTTTGACTCCAAACCTCATTTCAATGGTACTCAGAGGAGAGACTACGTTTATAGCTCTAGGTTTTTCTACGGCTAGTTTCTTGGCACTCATCGTATATTTTTACTTTATGGTGTTCCTTAAAATTCGAAAACAAAAAATCACTGAACTTTTCCAGGCCAGCGTTTTAGTGTCAATGAAAATGGAAAGGAGAGTTGCAATAACCACTGCCATGGTTACAGCAGCCGTGATTCTGTCCTTCGTTCCTGTTGCTTCTTTGAATCCATTAGGAAACGTTTTTCCCGTTCTTTTGAAAATGTCGTCATGGCGAGTGGGGGAAACACTAATGCTTTCAAATTCTTTAGTTAATCCACTTATTTACTGCTACAGAGACCGCCATTTTAGGAAAGCTGTGCTCGAGATTTTGAGGATTAAAAAACTTTCACCAAAAAATGCCCGGGAAATAGGACGATGGCACGAAGAAAGGGATGAGCATGGCTCAAACGAAGCTAAGGTACAGACGACGCAAGAAGCAGATACAAGTACCCATCTCAGGAGATCAGCATCCTTTGATTCGATCAGGTTTTTTGGCCGAGCTCATATCGAGGCAAACAGAACGTCGCTAAAGAGAAATATGTCGGCTCCTTTGATCCTTATCGATGGCAGTTCGTGGAAGTAGACCATCGTGGTCCATCTCTTCAGGAGCGCTCGAAACACGGTGAGAAGCGGGCAGCATGATTCAGAACTGCTGACAGAATCCCCTAGAACGGTGACGACAAGGAATTTTTTTTCTTGTTTAACTGTGTAAACATTCGAAAATAGAACAACTACATCGCTACAAGCAGATCAGTCTTTCAGACTTATTTAAATTAAGAAGAAGTTTTAAATGATGTTGCTAGCACCTCTTACTGCATCAACTTTCATTGTAAAATTAATAAAATCTATGATAACCGCATTTAGTGGTCGCGGTACCTTTAAGGGCAGTTTGGAGTATTCAGGCATTAAAATACCTATTTGTAAGTCAACTAAATGTGAGTTTTTATACAGGAATAATCAAGGCGTTTTATCTTGTCAGCCATGCAAACCATGAGCACAAGGTATTAGTTTGTTTGCCTTGAAGGGCAAATGCCACACACGCTTTTCGGTCATGCACTGCAGGTGTCTTTGCTTTGAACATCGTACCTTCGGTTTTGACTCAAGAAATTTTGTTTAGTCCTTGTAAGGCTATAAACAGTCCTGCTAATGTTTAGTGAGCGTTTATGTTACTGATATTGGACACGACCTAAATTTTGCTTGTCTAGTGATTTTTATTCTGTAAGGATTGAAACAAGAATTGTAACAAATTAGACAAAAAAAAAAACCGGTTTTTGAAGCCGTCCTACAGACTTGTAAAATAGGAAATGGAGAAGAGGGATTCACTTCCCCCCCCCCCCTCCACCTAACGCACCGGGTGGGGTGAATAAATGAGAATTCTCTATTTTCCAATTGCCCATAATACACGCTGTTTGCCCCCCAAATTCTGCATAAACCATTGTTTTTAAATGCTCCTGGGAGTATTGCATTTTCCCAAGAGCATTTTAAGACAATAAGTTATGCAAAATTTGGGGGGCAAACAGAGTGTATTATGGGCAATTGGAAAATAGTCAATATAGGCTGACGGTTCTTACACTGACCAACGTGACGACCCATCGGTGCAAATATGTGTAAATTTTGGGCAAGACATCGCTTAAGTCTTTGAGGACTACTTGCTTCGTGTTGTGTCCATTTGGATCCAGGCATATTTTCCTCCCTGGTCCCATTTAGCTTTCCATTCAAGCTATCAAGGTGGAAAGCAGCAAAATCAACTAGGATAGATCTTTCCAACGGTACCTCATTTAGCCGGGCTCCTAGCTGTCTTGACACATTGACAGAGTAGTACCGAAAAGTAAAACATTCGGGGAAAGAATCCAGTTCCAGCTTTGCTATTCAACTCCCACTCTTTGCAGATTAAATTTTCCAGGACGTTAACCAGCCAAAGCTCCTCGGAAAGAAAGACGATTAAGTGGGCAACAAAACTGGCTATAAAAAGAACGTCAAAGAGGAAAAAGAGAGCGAGGAAAAAGATCAAGATAGATTCGCAAAAATAAGTCCAAAGTCTAACTTAGTAGCCTGCGAAAACATCCGTTTCTCCTCGCTCTTCGCCACTGGGGACGACGTTCCTCCTCGCGAAACGTCCCCAGCGGCGAAGAGCGAGGAGAAACGGATGTTTTCGCAGGCTACTAACTTAGGCACATACGTGAAAACAAAAAAGCTGCTTAATTACATCCAGTTAGCAGAAAATTATGCTCTTGGTGTAGCAAATCCCATTTAAACTTTGCCACGCCAACTGAAATGGATTTGATCAACAATGCTGCGGTTTTCGCCACTAAATGGCTGCCGCAAAAGGATCAAGTTATTTTAGTCTAAAATACAAGAAAAAGAAAAGAAAAGAAGCTCTGTTAAATGATCGACGGGGATCATAGTTTTAGACAACCGCGTTCCTGAGATGTCATTATGTCACTCCTTTTAAAATAGTGACTTGGTTTTCTTTTCTGATATAATATACCAAGTAATATTTTAATAATGATTTTATGCACCAGTATCAGAAAAATCACACTATCAAAGAGAATAATTAGGCCTAAACATTTCCAAAACTATCCACAGCCCTATCCCGCGGTACTTGATCACTTCCCCCCCTGAAACAACAGACTTTGGCCCCTAAAATCTAGAAAACACAGTGATACAGCTAGTTATTTTAGAGATATCTAGAACAGTCCAAACAAAGATAATCCGGTTATTAGACTTGCGTTGTTATCATATCAGATGACAATAGAAATCGCATCAAGTGTCAAGTCAAGTATCTTATTGGAAAGATAAAATTGAATTATATATTGTGAAGGTGAGAGCTGTTTTGAATAGAAGGCGACATCAAGTCGAGCTGCGCGCACGTTTGTCAAATTCGTCGCAAGCTGTACGCCGCAAGACCTATCTTGTCTATCTTGCTCTTGTAGTCAGGAGCTCGACAATTTGGAAAACCCTTACAGTACGTCTCATCTTCACTCCAAGGCAAAATGCTGTGGTCATTTCTCACTTCTGCCGCTGTGTTGCTGACGTTTATGGTGAGTTTTGTTCCCGGGAGGGCTACTTGGTCCAATTTTTGCTGGTTATGTGCCGCCGGCGTCTCAAATCCCAACCCCATTAAAGTCTACTTCTTGGCCAGTTATAGACCCCATCTTAGTCACTTTTGGAAAAATGTAATTTCGGCGATCCCAACTTAGTAATCTTTTGTTTGTGCATCTGCCTTATAAAGCCTTTTAACTGGGTCTTCCGGGAATAAATTGAAACATTTGTTAAACTAAATGCAGTGAAAATCTTCCTAATTAAATCTCTACTAACCTGAATTTTCTGACTCCAAAATCCCGAAAATGTGCGGCACCCCATTCTGGTTACTCTATTGATTATAGTCAACCCAGTCGTGAAAATGTGATCCCATCCAGCGGCACACCCCCATTAGCCTATTATTAGGAGGTACCCCCCCGGGTTTTGTTCCAGAGGGGTAATTTCACTTTGAAGAGCTTGGATGCTTGTTGTCTCGTTCGGGTGCGTAAATTGAGGAATTTGAAAAGAAAAACGAAAAGAAACAAAGACAGATAGTACGATAGATAGAAGAACAAATTCCACGACAACGTATTGGGTTGAAAATTACCATACCTCTTATGTATCTCTTATGTACAATGTTATCTAATAGAAGTCAAATAAAGCTTAAGGCATGCGCAGATTGGTCTAATATAGTGGTTTACATTCAACTCTTTCTCTTATAAGACGGACATATTCCATAGTGACCGACCGGTCCCTATTGTCCATCTTATGGAGATTCGAGGTAACGTGACACCAGTAAAATATCAAGCTGCACCCAGTTCGCAATGAAGGCACTTCTGTTTAACTTATGCAAAACAGCTAAAACTGGAACATCGTAACAGAAAAGTGGAATCATTTTCTTCTTGTTGTACAATCAAACGTTCACGGCTTTGTGGTCTAAAAGCGTAACTGTATACACTCTGCAAACTGGAGAAAGACTGCAAACTGTTACAAATTTTGCAATTTGTTGTCATGTAAAGCACCCATATTTCCGTTTTGAACTATTTTTCATTGCAGAACTCACTTCTTAAGTGTTCGTTAATAATAACAATAAATAACAATGAAACTTCATTTAAAGAGGGTAACATCAATTTCCCACTCCTTTTTAATGCATAGATGTCCCCTCAGGGTTTATTTACGCCTTGCTGTGTTTTTAGCTGCTGAAGCTTATTCATTGGTTAACAAGGGAATTATTCCACGGACTCAAACAATAGGTTATTGTTTTGCTCATTTGTCCTAAATATTTGATATTAATAGCAATGCTCTGTTACAATCGTGTTTTCTCGGGTGTCATTTTTCTTTTTTGAGCCGTGCCGGGTGTTATTTAAAGAACCCTCCAGAGTGGCATAGACCGGTAAAATGATAACCACTCGGGACCAAAGTGATACTTAGGTTAAGATACGAGAAATGCAATCGCTCACGACACGTAAAGTCTAACCTAAAAGAGGACCGTGTAGAACTCTGCTCCGGCGATTTTAAACGGAATTTATTGGGTGGCGATGCAGGTGCATTTTTGAGTCTGAGACTTTCACAAGGTTGAGATCTCGGTCAATTTTCTTCTTCAAGTTCACTCGTTCTCCAGGTACCACACAGATACCACACAGATGCAATAAGCTCATTTACGTCTTTTATTTCACTTGGCAAATTTGCCAAAAAAAAGAAAGGAAAATTGAGACTGTCGCCGATGACACTTTTCATCAAAAGAGGAAATTCTAGAAATTCTTAGTTCGCGGTAATTACAGTCCTCTATCTTCGCGTGAAATCAAGATATCTGCAGCTCCGTTTGCGTATGTTTCGATATACCCCTCATCACCTAGTGGAAAATATCGTTCTAATGTTTTAGTTTGGACTCCAATTTTAAAAAAATACCCCGTTCTATTCTTGAAATAAATACGGAATTCAGCTGCCCAATATTTATGTATGAGACTACCTACGTACCTACCTATCTATCTATCTATCTTGCTAAGAAAGTTATGTGCTTGAAATACCCTTGACTAGTGCAACCGATAACGACGATAAACAACATTACCTAAAACTGAACCATTGCTGATAATGAAATTCTAGAGCTCTGATTGGCTTAGCCATCATGGTACATGAGCCATTATACCATGTTCTCCAAATATGGTGACTGTACGCACGTCTGTTCAAAATTAAAAACAAGCTGAACATCGGTCGTTTTTGCAAGTAAAGTCGGGAACGGAAGCGGGCTCCTGGTCGGATAGAATTCTCGATATTTTGCTATTCGATAGTAATATCAAATTTTATCGAAATTATCTATTTTATTCAAATGTGTTTTAGGGCTTACCATTGGCAAAGAAAGTTGTTTCCGGAACACAAGTACGTTATTTGTTTATATGGCTTAGAAGGTAGACGGATAAATTTTCAGCAAAATTCATTTTACAAATATTCTAACGAAACATTTTCGGCTAATCGACAGGATAAAAACAAAGAGTTATAAATGGGTAAACTGAAAATGAAAAAACTGATTCAGCTTGCTTGTGATGGAAACTGTTCAAGCTGAACCCTATATTTCAAGTGAGGATAATGTTCAGTGTTCAGTTTGTCACCAAGACCCTTGCTTATTCAAAAATCATATTGCAAAGCATCATTAAAATCATCCTGAAAATATGCAAAACAAAGTAGATAATCAACTCCGCAACTAAATAAACAAAGAACAAAGTAGCATGACCGTAAAACTTGATAACAGAGTGAGAGAAAATGATCCGCCGTAAAACAGAAATCATCTGCAAAGTTGCTAATATCATGAACTGTAAAATAATGCATTACTGAGTTTTGAACCCCGAATGCATGCATGTAGTATTGTTAAAATCGATAGCGCTGATAAAGAAAAAAGTCGATATTTTCCGTCTTATATTTTTCGAAATGTGAAGGTGTCAGGATTCGAGTAGGTTATTATTACAATAAGTGCTATCGCCAGAAATTATTAGACTACAGTTAAATTCAAATACTGAGAAAAAAAAAACAAAAAAACAAAAACAAAAAAATAAATATTGTTGTTCAAGGAGGCTCCTTTCAACGAAAGGGTGCTTTAACTTTTTTGACAGAAAACATGAAACACATTTGCGAAACAAAACTTTAATTTAAGTCTCTTTAACCAAATCCTCCTTTTTGCACCCCTTTTCCGCCCATTAGTATGAAAAAAGCCAAAAAAAGAGATTTGCAACGGTAAAGGCGTGTGTTAGGCTAGAGTTTTTCACTTTTTGGCGAATTTAATGAGTATACAGCAAAATTATGTGATCGGAAAGTACTCACACAGAGGAAGGCCAGAGGTGAAGGAGAAAAAGAAGCCGAGAAGGCTGTGCGTGCTGTGCTTTATAGCTTGAAAGTGCTTGTTTGACTGTTAGTTTTAGAAAAACTCCGTCATGGACCACAACGAGACAAAAACAACTATTTTTGTTACAGAATTCGACCAGGTCAGTGTTTTATTGCCCTCATATTCCGCAAATAAATAATGGGACGCGCATGACACCATATCTCCTATTTGCCGCTTTCGCCTCTATCATCTCACCCGTTGTAGTTCTTTCAGCGCGTTAGTAATCACAGCATTAAAGAAAAAGAGAGAGCTGCAGAAACTTTTCAATATCCTGTTATCATATAGGTCCGTTTCGGACCTTCTAGCAGGTGCTATATGAGTGAGCTGTTATTTGCTATAGATGGATTCTTACTTCTCCATCAAATTCTCGCTACACAGCATATTTGCACGTTAGACGTGGTAACTGTCTTGTTCATATTCACTCTAACACTTTGTTCGATCTTTCATCTGGAACTGATTGCATGGGAGAGTTACGTGGTCATTCGAAAATGGAAGGACTACAGAGTGATAGTGACCAAGGAGCCCTTGAAAAAGCAGGCGTTAATAGCTTGGATTTCAGCAACAGTGTCCGTATGGAGCCCAAACCTCATTATTATGGCGGTTGGTTGACAGAGTACGGTTGCAACTCCAGCAGTTGCAACAGTTGCGTCATGGTGTACCTTAAAATTCGCAAACAAGGATTCAATCAAATCTTCCCGGTCAACACGGTAGAAACAATGAAATTGGAATACAGAGTCGCGAAGACTACTGGTTTGGTTACAGTAGCCCTGATTCTTTCCTTCGTTTCTGTTGTTATTCTCTCTTTATTGGGAGATTTTTTCCAGTTCTTAATAAAATGTCGTCATGGCGCGTTGAGGAAACACTAATGCTTTCAAATTCCTTCGTTAATCCACTCATATACTGCTACAGAGACCACCATTTTAGGGAAGCTGTGTTTGAGATTTTGTGGATTAAAAAACCTACATGTATAATTTGTTGTTGTTGAATTGGTACCTCTTAGGGGTGAAAATGAATTTAGGACACGCCCATAAAACTAGATTCTGGTACCTTTTAGGAGTGTTTTCCGGCGAGCACCCCGTCACTTTTATAGGGGAGTGTCCCCCGGGAAAATATATCCTTTTGACAAGATCAATGTCCTATTTTTGGTCGAGCTCATATCGAGCCCAGTAAAACGTCCGTTAAGAGAACTACGTCGGCTCATTTGATCCTTGTCAATGGCAGTTCGGGTGTAGACTAACGCCTGCACTACCACCAGCCATCTTTGTCATCACTGCGTTCGATGAGAAGCGAGAAATATAACCATAACTGTTGACACAAAAAAGGATCTCAAAAAACGGAGACGACCTTGGAAAATGGAAGATCAGAGCGAATGTCAAACCACCAAACTATTCACCACCCTCGGGTGAATGAATCTTAAGTAATGTCTCAAGCAGAACGGTATCAAATACAACAAAACCCCCACAATGGGGGCTCATTTGGCTTCGTCTAGGTTAAATTAATCCTGAACATGCAAGATTGGTGTTTTCGTTGCAAGTGTTCGGCTCGGTAAATATCCACTACTTACCTCCACTTCAGTGAATAATTGTTATATGTCTTGAATTTTCCGAGGAACAGGCAAATGAAGAAGATAACTTTACATCGATCGAGGAAAGCACGTTTTAGCTGGCCTGATCGAACGTGTCATCATTCGGCTTTATGTTTTTCTGCGGATAATTGCAGCTCAAAAATTAAAAGCTTTTGACCCGTAACTACACTGCGCACGTGGCATTTGCTCCTTCAAATTCATTCCTTTATTATTCCTTAATGAGAATGCACTCTCCTCTGTCAAACGCACCTAATATAATTATTGGGGATACTCCACATATATAAAAGTGACCGGAAGCTCACCGGAAAATTTCAAGAAATTAGGTACCGGAATCTTGTTCTGCCAGAGCGGTCTACTATCACCCTCAAGAGGCAGCAATTCTAAAGCAACAAATTAGGTGTTACTGGCAATTTTAATCGAATAGACCAATCAGCTGACCACCAAAACTGTACCCATTATTTTTATGGCTCAAGGCCGCTTAATGTTTCTAAAAGGTATCACAATAACTCTAACTGCGATCATTACAGATTTTAGCAATTTTAAAGGAATTAAAACCTCACTCAAGATTACGAGGCTAAATTTTGAATTGTTTTCTTTCATAGGTGAGCTGTGAGGGAAAGGGATACGTAATTGTGACCATTAGAACGTATAGCAATTCTAATAATAAGAAGCATAACGATAACTGTTGTGATCATCGCGATTTCTTCTTCCGCTGTGTTACGTGCGACACGTATTTTAAACTATACGTGAACGACCAATCATCAGCTGTCAACACGCAGACTGGCCGGATCGAGGGAAAACGGAAGAACAAACGTTTGCCTATCAGAAAGGAGTTTACCTTCAGTCATTTTAGTGTAAGTTCGCCAGTTTTAGTCTTGATGAAACCATTTCCTCCTGTAGGGCCAAAAAAGGCCCCTATGAAGGTGCCTCGAGACCAGGAGCCTATTACCCAGGCTCCTGGACTCCTGTCTAGAGCTATTCTCAAGCATGCAACCCACTACCATTACTATCATCACCATCATCATGCATCATGATCATCACCATCGTCATCACATCATCAAGTAGCTCTTATGCCTTTAAGACTGAGCAGAGAAACCTCTTCTCTCAGGGGCGCCCAACGGCAATTTTCGGGAAAATATCTGTTCGGAAGACGATTTGAGATCTAGAATTTTCGGAGCATTTGTTGTAAAATTTCTTGCTTGCCTGCCTCTCCTAGGATTTTCGAACATCTACAAAATGGTATAATTACTCATTTTTAACGGACTTTGACCCCAAAAAAGGCCACCTAGAATTTTCGGGAGCCTTTTCCTGGCTGAAATTTTCGAGAAGATAAGTTTTTATCCCTATATTTTTCGGATCACTAGATTTTCAGCTAGGAAATCCGAACAGATGAAAAGTTTTTAGGGGATAAAAATATGCCTATATCTACCGTTTGAATACTAAAATACGTTCAACAATGCTATGTTAAGTGGTTTTGAACTATATCCTCGTTGGGTGCCCCTGCTCTCTTTGTTTCTAGCTGTGTAGCTTCTGCCATGCTGATCTTTTTGAGTTTCAGTCCTTTTGCTTGGTCTAGCCCGTGCTTACAACCAGAGGAACGCACGTTGCATGCTCTAATCGCCGGTTCATTCCAATAAACTCACATTAAGTGGCCGAACCATTTAAGACATCGCCCACCATATTCCATCAGAAGATCCACTCAAACCATTCCTTTAATTAGTTCGTTCCCGATATTGTTCCGCCGTGATTTTGCGGCTGCTTTCCGCAGAATATTCATCCGGCAGCCCGTGAGCTTTATGACATGTTGGTTCAGGAAAGGCCACCTTTACGCTTGGTAGAAACACAGAAGTGATGAGTAGTAAATAATGTTTTATCGTAGGGAAACGTGGTCTTGAAATTGGAGGTATGGGATGATGACGTCATCACTAACGATGACTTCATAGATCGGTTTTCCAAGAACATAGATCTTGATACAGTCAGATCAGGGCCACCTTCGTCGAGAGATGGCAGTGAAAGAGTCGTTCTAAGCAGCAAACGCGTAAGGATAGAACTTGATTTGGACATCTATTGCGACACACACTTTTATGGTCCTTCCTGTAGCGTAAAATGCGTACCACGGGATGACTCGAGCGGACATTACACATGTGATAGTCAAGGGCGAAAGGTTTGTAGGAGTGGCTGGTATGGAGAGGACTGTACTCGGTACTGTGTCCCGCGGGATGATTCGATCAATGGCCACTACGTCTGTGATAAGCAGGGAAACAAGAACTGCCTACAAAACTGGCAAGGGCCATCTTGCAACAGCTGTGTGAAAAACTGGTACGGCAAACGCTGCTCAACTTACTGCGTGCCTCAGGATAGCGATGAGCATGGACATTACAAGTAAGAAAAAACCCGCGAAAGCTTGTTTAATATCTTTTTTTTTTTTTGATGTTAGAGAGATTAAGCATCGCGTTTACGGCAAACAGCAAACGGGAATTTGTACTACGTGACCAAGTTCCCCCTTTACTTGTCGTTAACTGTTCGATATAACTACACGAAAATCGCTCGATTCACGCTAATTTTACCCATGAGAATTCTTTAAGCTGTTTTTATTTGCTCGTTTCTCATTTTGAAAATTTCTTAACTTGAATCTCACGTTTGCCGTGTGACGTAAACGCGATGCTTAATCTCTCTATTATTAATATTATTTTTTTTTTAATTTTTTGACCACAAAACAGTCGGTTTTTTTTCTCAAAATCGGTTTAACGTAGCGTAAGAATAGCCTAAGAGGCAAGAGAAAAAAACGTATGGTATTTTGAGCGTCTCTCCCTAGTCTCGTTCTCTGTTTTCAGCCTCGGTTCAGATCTTTTGTTTGACTGTTCGCGCGTACTTGAATACACAAAAATATGGACTGTTTTCCGTCTTTTTTTTGTATTTTTCTGAGGTGGGGCCGGGGGGGGGGAGAGGGGAACGAGGACCCATAGGATGAAGATGAGGACTGGTGTCGTAAAACATCAGGATAAAGGGTATTTTTAGGCAGCTTTAAATTTAAGCGCGTGCAAAGATGTCGGGTATCGTGAATAAGGCCTAGTCATCACCTATTTGGCAGCTACCCAGCGTAAGTTACATGTATAAGAGAAGTAAAATACAATAGTCAGAATGAAAGGGGGTATGTTTAAAAGAAAACCACCGGTCATGTTCCCAGTCCCCACTCCTCGCTGTAGCGTTCAATAATCCCCGCGGTTTCTATTTTCGTGCGACGACAACAACGATAACGTGAAAAAGAAAAAACTGCTCTGCGCATGCATCACGCTTTTTAGTACATTTCGTTGACGTCCGTTGCACGACTACGACGTGAAACATCCTAATGCGACGTTCCATGGAGGACGTTTCCATTCTCTTTTTGAACCTGGATAAAGTCCTTAACTTAAGGGTTTAACTCCAGGAAAAATCACCTGCATTTGACAAATTAAACGGGTTCAAATAGACGCCCAAGTTTGAGAAGACGCAAATTTATTCTTTTTTAGTAATGTTTCACTGCCGTCATCGTCGTTGCTTTTTAAGTTTCCTGATAGAATGTCTGTGAACAGGCTACTGATATTGTTAATTTACTATTTTGCCTCATTTTGTCAACTTAATTTCGGCACAGATGCGGACTTGAGGATGGAAAGAAAGAGTGCCTACCGTGGTGGTTTGGTACCGAATGTGACGCATACTGTGTCCCTCACAATGATGACGACGATGGGCATTATGATTGCGCGCATGACGGAAGCAAGACATGTAAGCCGGGATGGTTTAGCGAAAACTGCGTGAAATTCTGTGTCCCCCACGACGATGATGACAACGGGCATTATGACTGTGCAGCAGACGGAAATAAAACGTGCAAGATCGGATGGTATGGTGAACAGTGCCTGCGCTTCTGCGCGCCTCAAAATGATAACGAAAGCGGCCATTACACTTGCGACAGCAATGGTAACAAAGTATGCATAGACGGATATCGCCCACCAGAATGTAAAGAATGCCTCCTGGGTCGATACGGATCCAATTGTTCACTGTCATGTACAAATGCAACCCAGCAAGGTTACTATGATTGTGCCGACGATGGATCAATGCTGTGCAAGCCTTGGTGGTATGGGCTGGAGTGTCTGCAGTACTGCGTCCCTCACGACGACAGCAAACACGGGCATTACACGTGCAATCCGCTGGATGGAGGAAAAGTGTGCAAGAAAGGCTGGAAAGGGCCAGACTGTCTTGATCGCATATAAGATGTAATCATCATAAGATATTCGAGATTTTCTTTTTCGCCCCATGGAAGGGAATCCGGAAAATAGTTGCTTGTGAAATCTGGAATCCTGGGCTTTGGAATCCGAAATACAATTCAAGGAATCTGGAATCCCACTAACGATTGGAAACTGGAATCCAAGTTCCGCTGACATGGCTTACCTGGAATCCGGAATCCACGGCGTGGAATCCAGAATCCAAGACCGTTTTGGATTCCCTTATATGGGGTGACTATTTTACATTATGTAGTAGAGCAATCAAATAACTTTAATTCTGATGGTGGTTCCTCTTTTACTTACCGTATTTATTCGTATAAGCGCCCAACCTCGAATTAGCGCCCACCTCGAATAGGCGCCTATCCTAAAGGCAGAAAAAGTTAATAAGCGCCCAGCCTCGAATAAGCGCCCACCCCACCCCACTCCCGCCCACAAAAACTCCAATGAGAGATAATACGAGACCCTCCCTAAGACGGAGTTTTCTTCAGGGTATTGTACAGAAACCTTGCTTTGTTACACCTTCGCTTCTTGTTATTAGCATTTACTGTTTTGTTGCAAAATATACTACTACGTTTGGTGAGAATGGTGAAAATTTAATAAGCGCCCACCCTCGAATAAGCGCCCACTCTCAAGGTCCAAAAATTTTATAAGCGCCCAGGGCGGTTAATCGAATAAATACGGTAAAATATCCAAGTCGTATATTATTATCACTTTGGAAAAATAGCTTATAACCAAAAGCATGTTACATAAACAGTAGATATTTGGGTTGCAAGGAAGATTTCCCTCTAATGCAAACGGTTTTTTGAGGCGCTTCATAAAGAGAAAAGTAAACCTCAGTCCTCTGAGATACCAAAAAACTTTGAAATACATTACAGCAATTGAATGGTAATTTTCGCAGAATAACGTTATCTTTCCATCTTGCATATTACATTGTATTTCTCCTTGGAAAGAGCTACTGTTCCTGCATGTTTACATCGAATCCGTGCCAAAAAACGTTAGGAATGTTAGGAGTATTTTCCAGTGTATACTTTATCTGCTTTGAACGTCTATATGAAATTGCTAACATAAGTTTATAACTTTAAAAAATGTTCGCGTTATTTTATGCATAATGCTTTGCTTTCATTTGCTAGGTGTGCACTAGGTAATACACCTAAAAAAATAAGCAAAGTTTATTCACAAACGAACAAAAATGGCTGATATACAGCTTTGGTACTCATGTTCAGTGATTTCACGACTTAAGATGGCTTTTTTGTACTGTTTGTCGTTTACAGTTACAACAAAGACTACGATTGCATTGATTTCGTGGATGTTAACACCAGTTTACTATAACGTGAAGAATAAACTTAGTTGTAACCAAACATTCAGCTGCCTGGTTCAGTTAGTAGTTTGTTACCACTGTTACAGTGATTGACGGCTCTTCCCTGCAGGCGAGTTCCTCATTTGGGTTTTCCCCCGTTAAAATTCAGGGTTCAGCTGCCGAATTTCCTATAGCTCTAATAATTAAAGTTGTTTTAAAGTGGAAGAACCTGCGGTCACAGGACTGACGAGGTTCCGACCATTGAGAACCTGCGTTACACAGACCTGTCCAAGAACGAACCGCATTCACTCAAAAGAGTACTGCCCTCAAATAAGCACCGCACCCTCCCAGAAGAAACGCAGCCCCCTTTGATTTTCACTGGTTTTATATATTGAACAAACAAACAAACAAACAAACCAAGGAAAAAAAAAGAAATGTTATAAACGCGGCCCTCAAATAAGCACTACACTAAGAAGTCGAAAACCCAAAGAAGCGCCGCGGTGCTAGAAGTATTCAGTCTTGGGTGAAGTCGCCATTTTTAATTTTGAAAAGACTGCTTGCAGGCGTATTGAAAAGGATATTTGTGATCTGTTTCTTAAATAATGACACAGTTTGAGAGCGGAAAAGTGTTAAACTGCAATAGGAAATTATCTTTTTCAACCTTCCTCTTAAAATCAATCATCAAATGATCGCAAAGAAAATCTGGATTTTGGGATTTTTGGGATAAGACGAGGTAACACAAGAACTAAACGGTTGTCACTGTTATTATCTTGGGCAGCGACCCGGTGAGCGGCGCGGCGCTGCAGGGTACTATCTTCTTAGACGTTCATTGCAAGGCCTAGACACTGTATTTCCTCGAATGATAGCATCCCTCGATTAACCTCCTCCCTCGTATTATCGCCCTCCTTTGATGGAAATATTTAAAATAATCGCCTCCCTCTCACCATGTTCTATCTCTTTTATCCTCTCCGTGAAAGTTAAAAATTGACACAAGCATTTTTTCCCCTTTAACTGTTTGTATTGACATTCAAAATTAATCAAGGAGCCAGATTTGGAACTCTTAAAAAGCCAGTGCTCAGTTTACTTGATGTGATTATTTTTCCATTTATGGGATAATATAAAACAAAATGTTGAATCGCTTCTCTCGAATAATCGCCTCCTTTTGGTGCGAAAAAAATTAATAATCAACCCCGGCTATTATTCCGAGGAAATACGGTATGTTTAAACAGCCTGGTTTAAAGTCCTTTTTAGTTAAACATGTTTAGTTGCTGCGGATGGGGCATGAGTTGAGATGTGGTAGAAATTTTGGGCTTTTTTTGGCCGGAGACGAAGTAACCTAGTCTGCGAAAACAACCGTTTCTCCTCGCTCTTCGCCGCTGAGGACGTTGCGCGAAACGTCCCCAGCGGCGAACAGCGTGGAGAACTTTCGCAGGCTAGGGGTAACCTAGCGCAAATTTTTCTAAGGAGCCCCTCTCAACCTAGGGGGGAGGGGGAAGGCAGAGTGCCAGGGCGTATCAGCGGCTCAAAATCGTAACTAAGCTAAAAAATACAGTCAGTAATTTTTGCCTGAAACGTTTAGACTGTTCACAGTCCCCTATTTTTTCGTGAGATCATCGAGATATAGCGCGTCTTACGTACCGACGGGGCGGGCGTCGGGGATTATAGCTCTAGGGGGAGGGGGGCGAGAAAAATAGAGAAAACCAAACCGCCCCCGCCCTCTAAGTAGTTTTGACACTCATGCAAAATGGCAGCCCGTAACGCAAAGCGCTCGCTCTCAATGATCTTACGGAAAAACAGAGGACTGTGAACAGTCTCAAAACGTTCGGATCTGAAATTTTCCTTCTAGCTATATGCGTGAATTTTGACTTATTACGTTATCGTGTCATGTACATAGTAAATAGTACATAGTAAACTGTACACGTAATCCCCAAAACAAAGATAAAGAGGTTTCGACGAGTCAGTTAGGTCACGAACGTGGGTAATTTGACAACAGGAAAGATAAGTTTCTTCGCTATGTAAGTCACGAAAAACTGACTATTCCGGGCGGAAATGAATTTTCATAGTTGCGTTTCTTCATCTTGGAAAGTTATTTTTTCTCAGTTTTTAAACTGTACGCCACTATTTATATTACAGCAAAAATACTGCACTGAAAACCCAATTTTTTAAGAAGAATTCGAGAGCACTACGTCAAAAGGAGAGGGGTATTTAATTACAGCAGGGGGTAGGCGCGTGTTACGGAACTCGCCAGCTCTAACCAGTATTATCTCGGATCAGTGCCAAGTGTTACGCCTATTAAATGCTTACAGTCACAGCTGCGCGCCTATTTATAACCAAAAAACTCGTGCTGTTCCACGTATTTTCATTAGGATTGCAAAGCCGTGACGTTTTTGAAAAAGAGGTGCATAAAAAGGGTCCTCCGTGGTTTGAAATCGTCGACGCAGAATACTAACGTTGTTCCAGACTGTTAACAGGTTAGCCGACATCGGGTCCGAAGACACTAATATAAGTAAGATGCTGATATCGCTCGTGAGCACTGCTGTTGTTATATTGTACTCTGTGGTAAGTGTACTGAGTGATTTTTTGATGGTGTTTAATCCAGCCATAGTATACTCATAAAGTATCATCATTCAGACAAGACAGTTTAAAGCAGGAAAAGGTGAGGCTCACGGTTCTCGTTGAGCTGTTTCTTTCACATAATAACGAAATGAAGAAAGTTTAGAAAATGTGGTCGGAAGGGTAATGACGGTAATGCTTCCCTCAGTTCTTCGATGGCGCACATAGTATTTCAATCATCAACCACATGAACTTTAAATATTTTCGACCCCAGTCGAATGAATGATCAAGGTTATTGAAAGAAAAGAACAGGACTTCATTCCGAAAGTTATACAGCTCAAGCTGGAAAATTAGACTCAGCACTTCCCTTTAATCGTGAAGCATAATTCCTGAATGTGACCGGAAGTGAAGGAATATGGCGGGGGGGGGGGGGAGTTTAAGCAATTTGTAACAATTTCATGCCCCCGCAATTATTCCGTTTCTTATTGAACGTAAGCGGGCATTATTTATGCCTCGCAGCTTTATCTGTGTACTCGCTTCTCAACATTCGGGCGCTTTTGATGATGATAATTTGATAACAGCACTTATAACCAGTGCTTATATGATGAAACTTAATTATAACCAGGGCTTAGTGCTGATAACCAGCACTGAATCCCGATATATCACTATAAACATGGTTGTACGTATATTCTTTTCATATCAACCATTTCCGTTTCTCCCTACTCCACAGAGAGACGTGATACCCACTTTTAGCCACATGAAGTGGCATAAAACACACTTAAGAGTATGACACAATATTTTGTCTACTTGCTTTGCTCGTACAATACACGTTTTCTCTTGTTTTTTTTTTTCTTTACCAACAAAGATAAGGTCTCATTGTTTGCAGTAAAGAAAAGAAAATAATAAAGAGGCTTCTGAGAAAACGGTTATAATTTTTTTTATTTATCAGGGTGTCTCGGTTGCGAACTTTACCCTTTATGATAAATATTAGATGTGGCCAGAGATAAACGGTATAGGGAGTTTTAGGTACTCAAACAAACAATAGAACAATGGAACCCGGAAAAAAATTCATAGCACGCAACAAAGTCCATTCCCCTTCATAGTTTTTGTTTTCCAATGTGCTCTAAGTTACTGCAAGGTAAAGTTTATCTGTACAATATACTTCTTTTTTGTACTGCTCTTAGCATACTTCTAACAGAATGGATAATTACGATTGAGTATGTAGAAGAAATCGTAGAGTTGATTAAAAAATATAATATTCATTCATATATTTATTTTTGTCAAAAGCATATGAAGTACAATACGTTTGATAGAAGTTGGACTTAAAGACCCAAAGCGTATTTTTGTGGTGCTATTTGTTACATTGTTGTCGATGGCCTTTTAAATCTAAATTTTAAAATACTGTGCAGTGGTTCGTTTATAAATTGTTCCCACCAACCGAGACTTCGACCAGTCTCTTATTTGTCTTCAATGTTAAAGAGGGTGGTAAGCGCGCGCGCAAGCATTGAAAAGTGAGGGTGGTGGAAGCACGACCTCATTCACGCGCATTTAGTCACACGCGTGACAATTTTCTTCTCAGTGCGTTATCCTTGACGGGTAAAGAAAGAAAGACTGTTCCTAGTTCAACAAAAACCTTGAAGTTTTTACTCAATGTTTAATTTTTGTCTTACATAGGTACCCTGCGAAGGCAGAGGACATGCAGTTGTGACCCTGAAAAGCTACAGAAACCCATCGCATCGCATGAGCAATGGTAAATGCTGTGACCACTTGCTTTTTAATTTTGGCCGTTGTTATCCGTGTGACGCTTACTTCAAACTATGCGTATCGCAGTCAGTGTCGCGGGCAGCACATAACTGCAACCTCGGACGAAGTCAGACAGGTGTTGTGGGAGACAAAGACAATCATCACTTTCATATCAGGAAACAGTTTTCCTTCAATTCGTTCCAGGTAAGTGAATGCAATTGTTTTGTTAATGTTTGAGTTTCCTTCCACCGTTAGGACAATTCGTCTAAGAGAAGGTACGCCTAAAGGGTAGTGAGAGGAACAGACTGAAGAAAAGCAGGGACCATCTTTAGGTATCCATTTTCGGAAGGTATCTGCTGAGATAGAGTTGACTGTGTATCCCCGGGGGGGGGGGGGTACTGCCGGGAATTCTTCCTGGGGGTGTGCCGCCCAGCTCCAAATCCTGACCTGATTTCACACCAAAAAATGTAATTTTCCGCACCCGTTTTCAGACCAGACCAAAACAAACTATCAAATCCATTTCGAATTTGCATATTTCTCTTTCTTTCTTACCCATTTGGAATTGAAACAATAAACACGCTCATACACTCCCGTAGTTCCCCCGAAAACCACACCCGATTCCAGGCCAAAATGGACAAAGTCTATAGCCGTTTTCAGACCAAAACGGCACAAAAACCCTACCCGATTGGGCGGCACATCCCTATATCGCTTATATAAGGGAGTTTCCCCCCCCCCCCGGGGGGTTTACCCTCTCGGTCCCAATTGACGACGAACAAACAAAGGAAGATTGCAAAATCACTGAACAAAAGGACGCCACAGCTAAGGTTATCATGTTTTCATTTTAGTCTGTAACTTTGGCAGTGTATTGATGAATTAACAAAAAAAAATCGTTGTTTTTAAAACACATACCGTATCAGAGCTCAAAATAATTTTTGGACGGAGCTTGGTCATGGCTCCTTTCTGAACGGTCCAGAAATGACCGACCAAGCAAGTTTTAGCTCGGTCTTGCTAGCTTGATGCGATTCTTTCTTTTTTTATCTTTGTTTCCGTTTTATTTTAGCAAACAGCTAATTGGCATTCACAAAGGCGAAGAACACGACCGTTTCATCTGTATTCTCCGAATTTATAACCGCAGGAAGTTAAAATATTTTGAGATTAAAAGTTTTTTGTAATTTATGTTTTTAACTTCAGTGTGTACATATAATGTTTGTTCCATTGAAAATATTTTGATGATTTTGCAGGGCACAGTTACAATAGGAGTAGATGTCTGGGATAAAGACAAGTACACTAAAGACGACTTCGTGGAAAGAACATACATAACGGAACCATCCATCAGACCAGGAACATCCCACAATCCATTTAAGAAATCACTAACGCTATATGGTAGCCGTATTACTGTCGGGCTTGAGCTTAAGATATACTGTGACAACAACTATTACGGTGATTCGTGTACTGTTCAGTGCATCCCGCGGGATGACTGGAGCGGGCATTACACATGTGATAGTCAAGGGCGAAAGGTTTGTAGGCGTGGCTGGTATGGACAGAGCTGTACTCGGTACTGTGTCCCGCGGGATGACTCGATCAATGGACACTACGTCTGTGATAAGTACGGAAACAAGAGGTGTCTACGAAACTGGCAAGGGCCATCATGCAAGAGTTGTGTGAAAAACTGGTACGGTAAACGCTGCTCAACGTACTGCGTGCCTCGGGATAGCGATGATCATGGACATTACACGTAAGTGAGCTGCGCTAATGTGTTCCACTATCACTTCACTGGTTAAGGAGTAATATGAGGACAAGTTTTCCTTTTAGACCATAATTTGTAAAATTATAAACTATAAAAGTTATAATTTAGCAGTTTTTCTAACAGCCTTGATGCCTTTCCGGGCGTTGGGAAAGGGATCACCAAATAAACGGGCTCCCCTCCAGTGATAAGAAGAGAAAGAGTTTCGTAAAACCCATCTACTTAAAGTCCATTTACTTTGGAGTTTAGAGACGGATGAACTGTGTGGGATGGATCCACCATCAAACTCCGTCTAAATAAACGGATCATGAAACAGACAGATTATTCATCCAAAACGAGACCCTCTTGTTTTCACGTTAGACCGATTACCCGTCTGAGGTGATTATTTTCGAATCTTCACAATTTTAATGCATAACCGTTTGGCGTTTTCCTAACACTTAGGCAACATTCAAGAACTTTTCACATAGTAGATGTAATGGTTCTTGATTGTGTCTAAATGTCTCTCTTAAATAGGCCGTATCTGAGTTCCAACATCTCTCACTTTAAAAAACAACCTAAATGCCAAACCATTCTTGTGAAAATGAGTTTTATTTGCATGAGAATAAAAAATCATTTTCATATCAATGGCTTCGCACTTAGCCTCGCTTTGAAACAGAGGCTTGGGATAACTCGGAAATGGCCGGAACAAGCACATTAAATCAATGCTATTTTTTTCCCAACAGATGTAGACCTACTGATGGAATGAAGGAGTGCCTTCCTTCGTGGTTTGGCGCCGAGTGTCTTCAGCAGTGCGTTGCTCGCGACGATGATGAGGGGCATTATTTTTGTGCGCATGACGGAAGTAAGACGTGCATGCATGGATGGCATGGAGTAAACTGCACCGTTTTCTGTGTTCCTGAAAGCGATGACGAAAGCGGGTATTACGCTTGCGACAACGAAGGCAAGAAAGTCTGCTTTGATGGCTTCCATGGTTTTACGATCAACTGTTCATCTACGTGTTTGCCCGAAAATGACACCGTCGCTGAACAAGTACAGTACAAATGCACGGACAATGGAGACAAAGTGTGTAATCAGTGGTGGTATGGGTCAGAGTGTAGTGAGTACTGCGTGCCGCACAACGACACCATCCACGGGCATTACACGTGCGATCCACGTGACGGAAGTAAAGTGTGCCTGAAAGGCTGGGAAGGAACAGAATGCCGCTTTCCAAGACGAAGATGGGTGTTTAAGATCGAGTGACCGCTGATTGACTACTGATGGGCTGCGCTTACATTTGGATTTTTTTTACTGGAATTGTTAATGACGATGATGACTAAGATTGTTATGATGATGATGACAACAATTATTCGCAAACTGCTGTTCGACATTTCGCCCATTGCTTAATTTGGCGAGGTGTTTTTTCTAATACAGCACGCGCAGGCAGTTCATATATGCCACCTAAAATATTCAATTTTCCTTTGCGGCTGTCTTTTGTTTTTTTTTTTCTTACATGCAATAGAATGTTTCTTTTTTACTTTTAGTTTTATTTGGCAGTCTCGTAACTGGACGCCCAGTTGCATAACTAGACTAACTAATGAACCTTACCTAGTTAGCGTGGAAGCGTTGCCAATTGTTTATTTAGGGCTCGCAGTTGCAATAACTAGGCTAACTAGTAAACCTTGCCTAGTTTACGTTAGACTGTTCACAGTCCCCAATGTTTTCGTGAGATCGTTTAGATATACCGCGTCTTACCGTCATGGCTATCTTGATTTTCAAATGTGCCGAGGGGGCGGTCGTCCCAAACCGCCCCCGCCCCCTAAGTAGTTTTGACACTCATGCAAGATGGGTAGCCCGTAACGCAAAGCTCTCGATCTCGATGATCTTACGGAAAAATAGAGGACTGTGAACAGTCTAAGTTTACGTGGAAGCGTTGCCAGTTGTTTGTTAGCGTTAATTAAAACAACATTGATTTTTGATTTTATATCATTATTTTTTGGAATTCAATATAGACAAACTAATTAGGGAAGTTATGTTGGAATCTGTCACTGACCGATAGAGAAAGTAAAATAATGTTTTGATTGTGTACCTCGCGGTTGGTCAAGTTCAGATGGAACCTTCGTCATGCATAGCTTCTAAAGTTCTCAACAACAGTTTTAGTTTTGTCAGCGAAAACTACACGTCTACAGCGCACAGATGATCAACAGACGGACAGGTGTCTTGATCGTCGACAACCCCGACTTCCTAAGGAAATAAAGGAATTTGTGTAAAACCGCAGGAAAAAAATATATTTGTTGCCCGCTAAAACTCCTCAAGACAGCAAAGCCACTGTTTAAAAAGGAAAGAAGATTCGGTGTTTGTTTGCAGATGGTCAAAAGATCACTAAATTAAGACTTGAGGACTACCTCAGTTTTCATCGTTGCTAAAAACGATTACAAGGGCGGCGAAATGGAAAGACAAGATTTTTTTATGTGGCATTACAGAGCGATGAGCTAATTTGATTTAAGGTAAAGGCGAAAGGACGTTGTCTTACCAGACGAAAAAAAAAAAACAAAACAAAAACTAGCCGATTGTAAAATCGAAGCTTATTTAAGTTAAGGAGGTCATTTCCGTTGCAACCATTTGCACGAACTTCATAGTTGCTTCTCTATACCAAGTTAGAGGGACTTTGGGAACGGAAGAGGTTTTATTCCGTTTCAGGAGGTAAACCATAACCCTGGCAAAATCTTGCTTACGTTCTTTTCCTCAGCAGTAGATCCTGGCACCAAAGCAAAAGTGTCTTCAGTTACCCAATACTCCGCATCCACAGGAGCTACCTTAATTGTACGAGCAAATGTTTTCCTCCTTCTCCTGATAGGAAAATAAATCCGGTAGTTAGATGTTGTTTGTTAAACGCTTGTGACATTATAACTATAACATGTCGGGAGGTTCGAAAAGTCCGGGGAAAAGGGTATCAGTTCGATGAGACCCTGCACGACATGACCTGCTTTATGCAAAAAATATGGGATACAACTCAAACAATACCAGACTAGAGATAGAAAGAGCATGGAAAAATTGGCTAGTACGCTAATTTTGAGATGACTGAGACAAAAGAATCAGATATTTTGGTTGCGGGAATGCCTGTAAAATTAGGAAGGTTTTTGAATGGAAAAATTGCGTGTGCTCCAGCGACTTTTCCATTGATTAGATACATCTAATTTTCTGAGTCATTCAAACCACCATAAAATCGCACTTTGACAGACTAACGTTTTGGGTGACGCTATTTCAGTCTTTAGGATTTGTAGGTTGTATCCAATAATTTTGGATGAGATAATTTTGGATGTCCTCGTGCTACAAAAGGCATTTTATCGAGAGGGTCAAGAAATCTTGAACTTCAAGAAATCGGGATTCCACTGACGATACTGCACTAAAAAACGCCAATTCTCCCGTTCCCATAAGAATATAAGCTAAAATAGAACAAGCCACACTTGGAGCAAAAATAAAACAGTCACAAAAAACAAAGACCTCATATGTATTATTTGAAACTAAGTTATCACCTGAATTTCCAGAATGCAATCGCTATAAGAATAAGGACGAATGACACACAAGAAGCAATTATGGCGTAACTCAGCAGAGAACGGGAAAAAGGCAAACCATCTGCTCTCCTTTTGGACGCCTCTGAGCTCGATATTCCCGGTTGCAAACTGGGGATAATGACGTCGACGCCTTGTAAGTCGGCTGATGTGACGTTCTCAATGGCGTCTTTGTTCATAGTTACAACTTTCTCCAGGGTACGTGCAGAAAACGATCCTGAAATTAGATAGATACCTTTAGCATCAGATTTTTCATGGGAAACCACAAACTTCACTTTGCAGTTAGGCCTTCATTGCTTAGTGCCCTCATGCCATGTTGTTTTTCGTCAAGTCGAAGTGCATCACTGTTATCGCCCAAAACACATGAATGATTCGTCGTAGGTGGATATATGAAGCTACTTCGTACCTTTAAACGTGAGCCTGTACAATTTTTAGTGGCAAGTCATTGGCGGCTGGAAGCCCTTCCTTCCGTTCAAACGTAAACCGCAAACTGCAAGCACGACCGTAAGACCGTGGTCACGTGACATTCTCAGGTTTGCAGTTTCCCATCAAAAACCTGATGCTAAAGGTCTCTTTCGACGCAACCATTATCACTTACTCAGCTGACTAGCTGAATTATATTGTCGCTGAAGTTATGTTATAAACATTTACGCACATTGCATCCTCGGTAGCCCACAGGCAGTCAATCAGGTCGGCTGAAACAGCGCGCGACTAAACTTTTCCAGCGTGAAAACTTACGCCGCGCTGTTACGTTTCTCCCGACTCAATTGACTGCCCTTTGGTGTCTGAGGATGTGGAAACGCTTGTATCAGGCTCAAATGCATTACCTTCGACGCATGGAGGAAGTTTAACAGCTAATCTAATTGTCAGGCTTTGGTTTGATAGTTTCTTCGCTTCCATCAAAATATCCTCGGTATTAAATGCTGATCTATAGAATAATAAAAAACCCAGTTAATAATAGTTGCAGTTAATAACGAGATAAAGTCATTCACGTTTAGGCCCAGTTGACTAATAGAACACAAGCGGCAAGTGTTGGCCTTTAAATTTGAAGGGCAACCCTGAGTTGTTTATAGTCAAAAGAGTGTGACTCAGCAGCGTTGTCACTAGGATTTCAAGTTGTCGGGTATATGAATTGGTAGAGGGGAAATTAGTCAGATAGAAAGTTATTTTTTTTTCTATTTTCGTTTTGCTTCCTATGAAAGTGGCCAGGTGTCACGCTCGTAGTAACTGGGGAAATTCCCAACCCCCGGCCCTACTGGCTAAAACAGACTGAATGAGACGACAAATGTATTTGCTAGTTGAAATTCAAATAGTACTAATCGTCTAAGTGGTTACGATTTGGAAAATCAATACGCTGGCCAAAAACTAAACCAACTGAATTATTCAGTACTCGGTTCCCAAAACGCCTGCAAAGCAGTCTCATTTAACT